AGTTTTCACTAGCACCATTGTCAATTAGACACTTGACTTTGACTACACCCAGAGAATGGTTGAGTCTGACGGTTGCTCCATACAAAGGTAGAGTTGAGGTATTTGCTGCATTCAATAGATTTGTCAGGTACACAGAGTCAGTGGTGAGGTCAATGGTGGTTGACGTATCCAAGTCTTGAATGATAGGAGACAATTCCACAGGACGACGAGTATTTGAGTTCGCAACGACAGGGTTTAAATTCACCACTGGATTGTTGTCTGGCACAGGTACAGAGACATTATCCGGGGTAGTAACAGGCACAGAAACCAAAGCAGGAGAAGACGCAACAGAGGAATCCATCATGGCAATGACTTGATTCAATTCATCCATCTGTGCGTTTCTTTTCTCAACCGCAATTTTATCACACAGGGACAACAGGTAAGAGGAACCACTAGCTTTATTACTACTTTGACATTGGTTGCAATCACAACCATGGTTATCCTCTTCTCTGTATTCAACATCCAAAATACAGTTCAAAACACCAACATTCTTGAAAAGTCTGCGTCTAGTGTCCAGATCCAACTTGTCAAATGCATGCATAATTTCAGTGGCACGGGAGAGGCAATTCTTGGTGGTATGTCCAACTTTCTTGCAGTGAAAACATGTGAGGCTGGGATCATACCTATTACGGCCGCGATTATTGTTGTTTCTCCTGTTGTTATTTCTGTTTCTGTTGTTGTTGTTGCTGTAGCTGTTACTGTTGTTGTCGTTGTTACGATGCATGATGGCATCTAGGTCCATAGGCTGTACATCACCGTTGTTGTTATTGTATCTAGTGTTTGTCTGAACACCAGCACTGATCTTCGGATGGTGGGCGAATTCATGAGCCAGAGCATCAGAGAACAGCTTCTCCAACGTACGTGATTCAATAGGCATGGCGCGAATTTTGGCAATCAATTCCTTGTCCTTTAAACCTCTCATGAAACGATCACATTGCTCACGTTCACTAATATCCTTGATGGGAATGATAGCATCCATAAAACGATCCACATAATCCCGAATTGAACTGGTTTGGCGAATGGTGACCAAAACATCACGGGCCAAATCTTGATCGTTGGTGGGACGGAAATTGCTAATAATCAAAATGTCCTTCAGCTCCATCCACGTTGTAGGTGTGGTAAGATTACTGTCGGGATCTTCATAATGGGCAACAATAGTGGCAGCACGTCCAGATAGCAAAGAAGAGGCAAAATTGTAGGTGCGTTCTTCATTCCAGCTGTTGTGCAGCTTTTGTTTGTCAATCAAACGAATCCAGGCATCAATTTCACTTGCATTGCGAGTGCCACTGTATGTAGGTGGTGTTGGCAACTTGACAGCAGGTGCTTGATTTTGTGCCTGAATGAAGGCAGTCATCATGTTGGTGAGCATGTGTTGGTTTTGTTCCATGAATTGAACATAGTTGGGTGGTATTTGTTGTTGTTGATTGTCTTCAGCCATGTTGTTTTAATAAAATGTGGTGAGAGAGACCAGAGAGAGTGTTGACTCGAGATTTGTGTGTTTGTTTTGACAGTTGAATAATTATTTGGGATCTCCGAGTTCGTGGAATAGGAATCAACAGCGAACGAGATGAGGTAGGTGGTGTTCACAGAGAGGAACTATGAACAACTGTAGTAAAGAGGGTTGACTATTATGATTCAGTAAATGCAAAGATCTAATATAGATGTTTCGATCTTTCCCTTTAATGAATACTTAGCCGGCATGCCTTGATGATCGACTTTTGTTTACTATCTGTTATAGGCGACAAATAGAAAAAAAAGGATTTAAAAAATAACAGAAGTTGCTACCAATTGTCAGATGCTAATACGTAGAGGTAGTATATGCAATCTGAGATCTGATCGAGATATAAATGGAAGTAGATATAGAGAGTGTGCAGGAAGATGTTATAGCCTTTTAGTTGAATGGATAAAAAGGTGCTTTATTAATATTATATTTGAACATTGATTTTATCCAATATAGTTTGTGTAATGTTGTGCGCTATCCAGGTTAATCGCTGTTTAATGTTCCTGGTAGCTGGCGCTCTAGGTTTAAACCTGCGCTTCTTATTCTTGTTTGTGTTTAGTCTGTCAATGATATCCTGCAGATCTAAATCACTGTCAGAATACCCTTCAACCCTGACAGATTATTACGATGTTAAAAGGATTTTGTTGTAATGCTAATTTTAAGAAGCGGTGTCTGAACTCTGAGCCTATCAGAGTGTTGTTCCTGAACTGGTGTTTAAATCGTTTATTCTTACATTTTTTATTTTGACATATATATTTGAGTCTATACAACACATTTGAAATAAATCGAACTTTCTTACGTTTAAATCTTTTGGGTACATAACTTTATATATAAATTTAATCGCTGAGATACTGTCTACATCAAGGTTATTGCAACACATCAGCAACTTAAACAGCTTTAATTACTTGGTTTTGTCTCGGGATCAACTATTACTGCAAGATCTTCCACACATTTCGCTACACATTTCACAAAACCAGCACCGCAGAGTATCATGATTTGTTGTTTTGTAAGATGAATACAATACGTAAAGTTAGCAGAGAAATAGAGTGTAACTATTACTTTGTGATTATGTTAAAAGATGTTGCTTATTGAATGCATTTACAACTTATATTTATAATATTTCTACAATCGATAATTACTTAATCAATGGAACTTTCGAGTAGATATAGTACTAGATATAGCAACTGATAATCAGATTAACGCCTGCTATCAGTTTCCAAAACCTTCGAGTATACGCTGGCACCTTTTAGTCGCTTTCTTCAAATCTGGCTTAAACCTAAATTTAGGCACGACGGATTGATACGTGTGTATCTTTCTTTTGATTACTTGGCTCTATCTCAATTTCCTGAAAAGGCAATATACCATATATGGAAAAGGCGCAAGGTGGTGGATTCAAGGTGTAATTCTATACTTTATCTACTATGTCTTACTTGAAAGGTTACTCGTTGGTGTGGTGTTCTGGTGCATTGATACACTCATATAATTGCTACAAAATTGTATGTTATCTCTTGATGGTGCGTTGATACTGTTATTCTAGTCGATGCAATCTTTATTTGGTGCGTTGCTAATCAATGTTGGTGTTTACTCATTGGTGTCGTTTCTATTTTGTTGTTGTTACATATCCATGTACTCGTGGTGCTCTTGTCGAGTTTAGCCGAAGATTTAATCAATATTTGGAACCGATGTTGTTGAATCGACTCAAGAACGCGGGTACATGAAATTGACATTAAATTAAAAGCAATCCAATTTGGGGTTACATTTTGATCAGGGCACTGATATTCGGATCTGAATTGATTTTGACAGGAGAATAACAATAGAACAATGACATGTATAAATAGTATTTTGAATGGCATCTTAATAAACATTATCCATTTTCTTCTTATTCTAATCTGGAGTTTAGTTACTATACTAGTGCCAATCTAGTACGAACAAACCTAAAGAACCCTTAAATTCATCTCTCATAATTATTGGGGTAGTTCTTACAGTCTTCCTTTCCACACAACGATACTTATATCTGGATTACCAACTACCAAGGTAATCATTATAGAGAGCTTGATATTTATCATGATATTTTAACCAAAATAACTAACATATAGACAACAAAAAATTCTGTCACGTGATCCGTCAATCTCTTTTATTAGATCTTAAATCGCTTCGGATGTATATAATTTGACAGGTTCAATTATTCTGTATATTGAGTTTATAACCCTAGCATGGTTTAGTGTAACTGATTGGAAAAGCAATATACAGCTGTTATTGATTATTATTGATTATTGAATAGTTAGTGCCAAATACAACACTCATGGGGTAAATAGTGATATAGATTTCAGATGGGAGGAAGAGGATGTTATGATGATATAGGGAAAGGAAAATGGCGAGGCAAAACCATCAGAATTATATTACATGTTTTTTTTGGATTATAGAATACTGATATAGATAATGGCGAAATATACGTAATTTTCTTTACCCATTATTGTCAATAACATTGAAATGTAAAGGGTCATAATCATCATAATCGCAATAAGTTACGCAAGTCGCCTTCTAAAGATTACTCATAATAATCTATCAACTTGATTTCAAAGTTTTTTGTAATACAAATTAACACAATAAACAAGGACGAACAAACTTGAATTACTACCCTCCTCCTACCTAAAAAAAGCATGAATCTTTGTTTCCGAAACGAAATTATTTAAGTTTTTACATTTATTTCTACCAAGTTCTGGTGTTTATAGAAGAGCAACTGCTTGAAATGTTTCGAAGTGTGCATGTACTTTAAGAGGTTGCAATAGCGATGACTCTAGATTTAATGAAAAATACAGGGAAATTAAACTTTCAGTAAACGAATAACTTTTATCATCACTATAGGGTCTATCCATGTTTCACGGTGAATGACATGCTTCATTCGAGCATGTGAATTTGCTATCAAAATATCAATATTAGAATATTACGCTATCCTCAAGGCAGCTAATTTTTTTTTTAAAAAAAGTCCCCATTCGCTGCCTTACTTGACACTCTGCCAACAACGATGACAAGCGCCCTTGTTTAATATACCTCAAGACTACATTTTCGGGATTTTGCGCCCTGAGGTGATAGATTTGTCCAATAATAGCTAGCTGTAATATTATCAAAGAAACAATATGGCAAGTCTTCCGAGATAAATGAAGGTCCTTTAAGCTACAATAACAATTAGAGTTGTATACTATTGCACAATGGCGAAAAAAAAAAACTTCATGCGTTTACAGCGTGTAATTTGTGTCACTGTGCGTTTATTTCCCAAAAGATTTTGGAAACGATCAACAAAAAAAAAACTATAAATAGTGAAAGGTGGGGTGTTTTTTCGAGTTTTTATTTTTTTTCAAAAAACATAAGCTTTTCAAACAGCAACGCTTACGTACAATAAGAGCTGATTGACATGACAGCAATATCTGGTAGATACATCAATAATACAGCCACAAAAGTCATGAGAGTTGGTGACAAACTATACTCTCCTATTATACTACCACCAGGCAACAAAAAGGCAGCTTCTGCAATGTCTAGATCGAATGCTGGCATAAACCCACTCGACGTGACTCTATCAGAAAGCACTTGTATCTTGGAAGAATTGCAAAAGCAGCAGATAAACCTAGGGAGAAACTGTGAGCCCTTCATTATTGAGGCTAGTGGACGCCTTGGGGTTGTTTGCTCGCCATATTCTCCCATGGTAGACGATGTTTCCCTAACATTATACGAGTCATGTCACGACAATAGTCATCCAAACACCATTTGCAAAGATGCGAGCTTTCATGCTGCATTGCCATCCTCGACAATTTCACGATCTGTGGCCATGTTCAACGAAAGGCTTTTTGATGGCCTATCGACCGGAGGCTCTTTCAATGGTAGTTTCTCGGGTACTACAGAATTACCCGATGCCGACCGTGTCATCTCTTTTACGGCAAGGTTGCGCCAAACGTCAAATGACCTATCATCTAAAGGTAACACTTTATCCAGGGAGGACGAGCTGATGATGAGTGCGTCCAAAAATCAAGAATCACACGAGCAAGAGGAAAGCGAAGACAGTGGGTTCTCTGTAATGAGCCCTGAGAAAGAGAATTGCACACCAACAGTAAAGCGAAAGACCAATGCTGGCAACATTTTGAAGAAAAGCCGAAAAAACTATGATGCCAAACAGACGACTATACTCATGGATTGGTATCTACGAAATGATGGAAAAGCACCAAGTAGTCAAGGCAAATTAGACTTGGCAAAAGCTACCAATTTAAATGTTGTACAAGGTGAGTAAAGCTGATCCTCTTTTGTTTTACAGGAACTTGTCATTTGTATTTGGATGCTAACTGATTGTTATGGACAGTGTCGACCTGGTTCCAGAACAGAAAGCGTCGATACTTGGACACATTGAACGAGTATCAAGTTCTCTCGAGAAGGTATCCCGACTTGGTATACAGCTATCAATCATATAAATCATTCATCACATCCGAGAAGTCTTCTCACAAGAAAAACAGAAAATAACTCTATATTGCATATTTATACTCACATTTCCTCCATACTCTCACTGCCATGCTACCAATACATACCCATTTCTTCGTTCAAATAAACCACATCCTTTCAACATTTGTCCATATAAATCAGGGGGAACAAACAGAGAAATCCGGGATGCATTATGAGCCCTGTTTTTGATTGAAAACAGTTGATTTAGACTCGGCCGTTTTCGCATTGACCTTATTGTTTGTTATTGCTGTGAATATGAGAGGATCTGTGCAACTACTGTCAGAGCTTTTGACTCAAATCAAACAAAAGATGCCTGAAACCCTCCAGTTGGCTAAAGCAGACCTAAACTGAAATGTAGGCGGCAATCATGCAAACATATCCCAGATGGGCTGAATCAATACTATCATAGTTTTATGCGGAAAGTTTGTATTTGTATTCAGTTGATTTCGTTAAGTCAATTAGTTTGATATACTACATGTCCTGAATGCTCTAAAGTGGCTTCCTTCAAATGTTGTAGTTTGGGACCAACATTGGATGATATTACCTGATAAAAGAATCTATAAAGCTAATGCGACTGATTGATGGCCACTAAATGATGGTGTTTTGCTCAAGCAAGTTTATTGCATAACCTAGCTATGACAGAATAGACTGATCTAGAGGCAACATGTCAAAATGGACCTCTAGACTAGGCATGCACAGTGTGACTGGAGTAGGCATGTAGAGGAAGCCCCTCTAGTTTGTAATTTCATCCACCACTGGCTTTCACATTTTTTTCTTCTTCTACCACTCATTCTCTATACTCTATTTTATCATGGCAGAGGTTGATAAGCTCGAAGACGCGATTCAAGCCGAACTTCCATTTGAACAAGAATACAATATCCAGAAGGCAGCAGCACCCTTATACAAAAATTCAGATGTGTTTCGATTGAATATTGTGAAATCTTGCAGAGAAGTTTTTTACGGCCAAAGATCCACAGCCAACTTTGTCAAGCTCGCGTCAGCATTGATTCTCGACAAGGATGATGATTTCAAGCAGCATCAGCTGCCCATCAAGACATATTACTTAAACAGCATCAAATCATACGAGAATCTGTGGGACGAAATATTCGAGTTGAAGAAGGCAAATGAGGACCGTCAAAATGCACCAGACCCAGAAAACATACGCAAATACAAACTCTATACAACTCGCCTTGTAAACATAATCAAAGGACTAGTGGTAATATATCTATACACACAAAAACACCTGGCAACCCTCGGTTTCTTTCTCTCTTTTTTTTTTTTTTACATGATTGCGATCGACGTGTTGGCCTAGAATCACTTCAGTTACATGTTATACTGAACACAACTATTGCACGTAAATCATAGGACTCTGGAGCTATCTCTATCGGTGAATGCAAGCAAAACTTTCACAGCGGTCTCTTGTTTGAGTGTGGATATGTGCCAAACCACAGATTGTTTGATCGTCGACTTGTGCGTCTAAACACTGCATTACTGTAAGTCTGAGGCGAGTTTCAACCAACGCTGTATACTTACACACACATTAGATACAAACAAGATAAATACAATCTGTCAAGAGAAGCCAGCGAAGGCTATGCCAGTCTGTTTAACGATCTCACCACTGCAAGCATCGATAATGAACGTGATATCAAGGGAAAGCTTGTTGCCACACCACTCGACAGAATTCCACTGTTCTTAGAGATCATTACAGCACACATGGGCGAATTTCATCTGGATCCCAACCGTGTTCTCGACATTATTCTTGACTTTTTCATCAGACAACTCATGGTCAATTACAACTTTTGGGTGGAGCTCATCAAGCAAACAGATTGGATCGAAAAGACCAAGGATGAGCAAGGCGACATTACTTACAAGCCAAGCTCCAATATGGGTCAATTGTTTGGATTCAGATTTTACAACTATCATGTAAGTGTGCGCCAGTATAAGAGAGAGAGAGAGAAAGAGAGAGAGAGAGAAAGAGAGAGAGAGAGAAAGAGGAGAAGACACTGACGGTTTGTGTGTGTAGATGGAGAAAGTGGCAGCACCCAAAGAATTGTACCTGTCCATTGCGATCCTATTGAAAAACAACTTGCTCTTGCTGGGTGATTTGATACCTTATGTAAGTACAATCAACACTATCAGAAAAGCAGCAATTGACTGGCATGCTTAGCTTTATCCAACCGAAGCCGAAATGGAAGAAGCCAAAAAGCAATACAATGCCAACATGAACAGAGAAATCACTACAAATTCTGGAGGTGCTTTAGCCGTAAGTAGATGGACATACCTGTTATGAATCCTACTGACACGCCCGCTATTAGCTTTATGGTGCACTAGGAGAAGAGGGAGCAACACAAAAGATGGGTCAGCGTCCATCATCGAGCGAAGACAGCAGCGAGAATGATGGCACAGAGGAAATAAAAAAAAAATATTCTGCCAATGATGTCGTTGAGTTGACAAGAGCATTGATATCCATTGGCGATCTCAAGAACGTGGAAACCATCTGGGCTCATTATGAAAAGCTGTTTGATTTGCATCCCGAGCTGGCTCATGATATCTATCGCCTGTGCAAAGTGATGCTGCAGCCTGCTTACGACGCCTTTGTCTCTGACAAGATTAAGAAGCGCATCAACATCCTCAAGGAACGCGCACAGCAATCACGCATGAAATCAGCACTCACGTCACTCGACAATCTAAATCCAAGCATCCCAGATACTATTCCAACCAAACGGGTATTGGTGTTGGACGCCTTACTGGATGGCACCGAGGACCTGGTCAAAAAGGAGCGCTACGTGTTCTTCTACAAGGAGTGGCGTCAAGATCTCCCTCAATGCACGCAGGCTGAGCATTTGACAAGCCGCTTTTTACCTTTAATGCGTTTGGCTGGCTATCGAACTTACTTGGCTACTGATCTGCTTCAAACCTTGAATTACATTTTGCAGGGCATTATCGACAGCAATGCCAATGTACCCAATGGCCGCTTGCACTGCACAAATATGCTACGTGAAATTGTCTTGCCATCCATCTCATTCAGTGAACACAATCCTGGCACCATTGCAGATGCTTGGGAAGTTTTCTGCCGTCTCACATTCCAAGAACGCTATGCTCTCTATGGCGAATGGTTTAATGATTTCTACAAAAAGAATGTTGAAACCAAGCTGCTCAAAGCCCACACTGAACGAGAAATCAAGGACATCATGCGTCGTGTAGCCAAGAATGATGTGCGCCGTTCTGGCCGTGATCTAGGCAAATTAGCGCATTCCAACCCTACTATCGTGTTCAACATTATGTTGGACCAAATTCAACAAATGGACAACCTAGCTACACTGATTCCGGATGCCTGCCGCTATCTTGGCGATTGTGCTTATGACGTGCTTGGCTATGTGCTCACTGAAAAGTGGACTGGATCCCAAGGTGCTGGTAAGATGGTGAAGAAGAAGGAAAAGGACGACGGTATGCCTGCTACCTGGTTGCGTTCGCTAGCTGTATTTACTGGTATGGTGTTCAAGAAGCAAAGCATTGATGTCACCCCTCTTTTGCGCTATGTCGCTGCTCGTCTGCGCTACCCTGACTCTGTGCCTGATCTCATTCTACTCAACGAATTTGTAACCAAATTGGGTGGTATTGAAATCCTTGGTAGTGCTACCACAGACGACCAGGTCATTGCTGCTGGCTGTGCTGACTCTGTCAAATCCGAAGCCTTCTTAGCCGTGGATGTCGAGAATAGACGTGCTAACCGCCGTGTCTTGGAGCGTCTTAAGGAGTCTCTGCGTCGCAACAATGTGGGCCTGGAAATCCTCATCCTGACCGTCTTTTTGGAGGAATCGGTACTCATCGAAAGAGGTGTCCCAGCCAGTGACAGAAGCGCAAGACTGGATCGTGTGCACCAAGCCCAATCGCAATACTTCCAACTCTTTACAGAGCTGTTTGAAGGTGAGGAGTACGCTGCTCTAATGCCAGATGTCGATGTGCTAGTCAAAGATTACGGCCTTCCCATGAACGTCGCACTGCGATTCAATCGACCCAAGATGCAGCTCAAGATCAAGAACAGCATGGACGTGCCTGTCGTTGAGGGCCAAGTATGGGAGCCTTTCCAAGCCCTGACGCAAGCTGTGCCAGATCTGTTGAATAACCCCTCCTGGATGACCATCTTCCCTGCTGAATTCTACATCATCTTTTGGCAACTGAGCAACTACGATATTTTTTGCCCTGAATCACAGTACGAAAACGCCATGAAGATCCAGAGTGAGATTATCCGTCAATGCAAGGATCCTCGAAGCCAGCTCTGTTTGACCAATCGACCCAACACGGTGACCAAGAAGGAGCGACAGGCCGAGTCCACATTAGAAGCCATTAAGAAGGATTTGCAGCAACACAAGGCTCATGTCGCCAAGGTCATGTCCGTACTGGAAGAGTCCAAGAAACGATGGTTCCCTAATCTCAATCAGCGCACTGCTCAAATTGCCAGCATTTTGCAGCACTGCTTCTTGCCTCGCAGCCGACAATCGGAAGTGGACGCTGCTTTCTGCTACGAATTCACCATGCTGATGCATCGACTCAACGTGCCTCAATTCTCTAGTTTGACGCTTTTCGATAAGCTGTTTTCTGACATCACACCTTGTTTCATTGCTTTCACTGAATACGAGACCACCATCTACGCTAGATACATCTTCAAGGCCTTCTCCAAGATGCAAGCCTGGCACAATGACGAAAAACTGTATGTCAAAGAAGCGCATGATGTAGTGGGGTTCCAAAAGAACTGGAGTGCTGTACCAACACCTGTTGAAAAAGAAGACTTGCTCAGCTTTAACGATTTCCAGCGTGTGCTCAACAGATGGCACATCAAATGCACTGCTTCCATTGCCCAAGCTCTGAAATCTGGTGAACAGCATGTCATGAAGAACGCCTTTTTGGTGCTTCGTCAATTCATCCCTTGTTACCCTGCTGTTGTGGATCATGGCAATATTATTGTCAGTATCGTCACCAAGCTAGCAGAAGAAGAATCGCGTGGCAATCTCAAAGTGCTGGCTCGCAGTTACCTTGGTCTGATCAAAAACTACAGAGAAAAGTGGGTCAGCAAGAATAGGTTCCTGAACTTAGAAGAACCTGCACCGCCTGTAGAAATCAGAATTGCACCACCACCACCACCACCAAGCACCAGTTCACCCAGCTCAAGCGCTGCCAACAACACCAATGCTGTTTCATCTTCTAGTGAAAACAAGGACAAGATTTCTAGTAATAGCACCACAAGTACCAGTCGCCGCAATGACACTGGTAACAGCAGCAGCAACAACAACACCAGTACAAGCAGAAGTGACGATGCAAGCAGAAAGCGTGATAGCACAGATAGCAAGCAACCCACGTCCTCATCTTCAATGTCAAGAACCGACAGCCCTAGTCGACGCAGTGATGACAAGTCTAGCAAACGCAACGATTCAAGCGAAAGAAAACGCTCCAGAGATAGAGAGCCTAGTAGCAGTGGCCGCTCTGACAAGGTGCCGCGTGTGGACGAGTTCAGCTCTGATCGTCGCCATCACCGTACACCCACATCTTCCTCATCCAGCAGACGTACTTCACCAAGAGATACCAAAGACGCTAGTTCCAGCCGCATGCACACGCCTTTACGTAGTAGCAACGATCCTGTGCGATCCAGAGAAGTGGCAAGAGACAGTGCCAGAGAGTCCAGTCGCAGTGGCGCATCAACGCGTGAAAATGGTGCTAGAGAATCTTCCTCTCGTGATGCTGCTCCTGCTGGCAATAGCAGCAGTAGTGGTAGAGACGCAGAGCGTGATGGTCGAAAAGATCCCTCTGCCCCTGTGCCTCGTGGCCGTGGTGCATCTTCCATCAGCCATTCCACAACACCCTCATCCAACAGCCGTATCGATGATCGCTTGAATCGTCCCTCTTCATCAAGAAATCAAAATGAAGTGAGCAACAACAGCAGTAGCAGTAGTTCGCGTCGTGATGATCGTACCACCAGTGTAAATAACGGAGGCAGCATTAACAGCAACAACGGCAGTAGTACGAGTGGTGGACGTACAGTGTCTGTTGGATCCAAGCGACCCGCTGAAAGTGACAGAGACCGTGAGCGTGATAAACGTAGAGACATTCGAGATGATCGTGTGCGAGTGGAAAGACGTCCAGATGACCGCAGCAGGGGAGGAGCAGAAGATCGTAGAAGAGAAGATCGCAGAGTGGATGATCGCAGAGTGGATGATCGCAGAGTGGATGACCGCAGAGTGGATGATAGAAGATTAGATGACAGAAGAGTAGATGATAGAAGAGAACGTGAAAGACATGATCGTCGTAGAAGACATTAAAAAGCGTTCGTTTGTATGATAGAGAAAAACCTTGTTGAAAATGGCCTAACATGGGCTCATTTGTATAGTAATAATAAAGATATAATGTGATTGTAGACATTGGGTTGATTAGCATTACTCCTGGCCATTTGGTTTGGTGTCCCAAACAAGCTTTCCACTATAAGTTTTGTAGATCACTCCTATTTATTGCATTTCTTTTCAAAGTCTTCACATCTTTCCAGCTTGAAGCTATCATGTCTGCTTTAGAAGAAAGCAGTAAGAAGGGGACATAAAATATCAATAAAGAATACAGTTGGGCATATAAACGTCATGATATAATATCTCTAACATCAACCTAAGTCGTGAAACAGCTTTTCTCTCCTTCTTGGTAAGATACGCAGCGCACAGCGAAGCTAAATATTACCAAATGGTTTCGAATACAGCGCTTCCCAAGCCAAAAATAGCCCTCTCTCAACACGCTCGTTTAAGAGAACACAAGTATTGTCAGGGATCACATCAAGCAATTCGAAACACAGGATAATGCAGCAAAAACGAATTGACGTGAACATCTTTGCACTGCATAGAGTATAACATCTTTGATGTTGTATCTGTGATATACGTTTCTTTGATTCACTTCTTGTGAATGTACAACGTGCGGATTGTTCTAAAAAGGCTGGCGATGTTGAAAGCGATAGTCATGCTAATGGTGCTATTGGTATCGAGAACGCCAATGATGTTGATGCTGATAGCCAATATTCAGGAGAAAGGCTCCCATCTATTATCACTCTGAATCACTATCCAAGACGACCAGTCGACTACTTGTGCCGATATAAACTTTTCAATTTGATAAACTAAAAAAATATCTACCAAATGAAACTTTGTAATAGATGTTAGATCAAAAGGAGTAAACGCGTCCAACCGACTAATCAATCATGTATTCGGATATATTCAGATATTTTCTATTCAAGCTATTGATAATTCTTACTGTCATGCGAGGCCTTCGAACGACTTGTCACTGGGATCATGGCAGAGATGCTCCACGTCTATATCAGTAAAAATGATTCGTCTACGGATCTACATCGTCCTTGGATTACCTCCCAAAACTCAAAAATATGCAAATTACAGCAGAATTTGCACCCATTTGAGCCGTGTTTTCTCGTGTTAGAGATCGTTTTAAACCACCAGAGTAACGCCAAACAATCTCTCTCATCCAGTACCAATTTCCTGACACATTTGCTCAACTTTTTGATGACCAAAAAAAAACCATCAAAAATCGACCAGAAACCATGAGGTACCCCTCATGGTTTTTATCAAAAATCAAACGATCGCGTTTTTGGCCCCCAAAATGAAGACTTTTACTATAGCATATATCAAATCAAAATGTTTCTCTCGATCAAGGGCAACCTCTGAAATCACTTTAGTAAGACCGTGCAACGTAAATTTTGACTTTCTGGCCAAAAACCTCATTTCATATTTTGAAAGGTTGCTCAATAGATTCATTTAAAACATCTCTTGCAATTAGTGCCATTTGATGCGCCTTGAAAAGTACTCTTATAAAGTATTAGGAAGTATGATGTGATCATCACAGTTTATATAGTCGGCTCCTCTGAAATAGATCTAACAGGTCGATTTTGATCTAGTTTTTTGAAGGAAAAAGTAGTCGGAGCTTTAACTAAATTTTGGCTGGCAAAAAGAATGCTTTCACATGAATACTACACAATCAATGTTTGTAAAGCTAATAATAAGGGAATTGCGAAGTGAATTTCTCGTGATTATTTTTTTATTTGGTTTTAGTATCTTGCAAATTTAATATTTGCATAGTCCCCATCCAAGTACGAAGCCTAATGCAAAATGTAGAATTGTCACCCTTCAAGATTGCGCATGACACATTGCGAGTGTGAACACTACTAGCATATACATAAATTTTATGCTTTATACAATTGATTTTCTTTATTACACAAATATCGCTCTTCTTCTATCTTCTTCTTCGTTTGCTATCGTGTGGGGAACGTCTACTACGTCTGCTGTATTGGCTGCGACTACGGCTGCGGCTGCTATCGCTATCGCTGCCACTGCTGCCGCTGCTGCTGCTACGTCTACCACGACCACGACCACGACTACGACCACGACTACGACTACGACTACTATAGCTGCTTCTGCTGCTTACACTGCTGCTATCACTATCGCTGCCGCTATCACTGCTACTATCGCTGCCACTGCTGCTGCCACTGCTGCTGTCACTGGCGGTACGCTTCAAAGACTGCTGTGGTGCATTTCTCAACCATTCTCTCAAATCCTCGGTCAAGGCACCGAGGCCAATACTGGTCCAATAATTGATGGCAAAACGAGTATTTTTTGGGTTGTCTTTGGGGAACATGCCGGATAGACTCTCTTGCATGAAAGGATCCAACAAGCGCTCTTTGAGTGTTTTGAGGCCCAAGAATTCGCTGATTTCTTGAAACAAAATCTTGACGAAAATTCTCGAAGCAGATGTTGTGTCCTCTTCTGTCAAACGAACAATTTGGAATGCGGTCCATGGTAATGAATCCGTGCTGAAAAGATGAGAGAATAACTTGCCAATGTTGCGAAGTCTGTTGGTTTCGTATCTATGTATAGTGTCGTACACTTCGTTGAAAGCAGTGCTGAAGTTGTCCACCCAAAGACGGTTCATTTTGCAGAATCGCTCAGCCATCAAACCATAATACTTGAGATAGGTGCGCTCTTGGGAACAACATTCAATGATCATATTGCACAGTTCAATCTAAACAATATGGTCAGTGTCACGATACAGTGCCTCCCCCCACAACATCCAATGCTCACCTCATGTCCCTCAGGAATGTCGATTTTCATTAGTTTATGACATGCTTCTTCGAAATTCACACTGGACATGACAGTCAAGTAAATCTTTCTGCGAAGCTCAATCATGTCAATGTTTGTCTGATCCAAAATCTCCATCTTGTGCTCGTCTTCCTCGTCAGAGTCCTCCTCGCTTCCGCTTTCAGAGTCGCCTGAAGATCCACTATCGTCTTCGTCCTCCTCGTCATCGCCCAAAATCTCTGCCTTGATCTTATTGTAGGTCTCTTCGTTGGTGTCGTACTCGGGGTCAAATTTGAAAATGTTGAGCATATCTTCAGCGTCTAAATCATCGTCATCCAAGCTGATGCTGTGAACAATCTGATCATCTTCTTCCACCAAATCGAGTTCCTTGATGACGGGTTCATTGTCTTTGTATTTGTCCTTGCGCACTTGGAAAAGAACTTCAATCATGTACTGAATACGCTTGTCAATCTCGCCCTCGTGTAATACTGCTCTGAAACGCTCGTAAATAGCATTGTTAGCCTTGGGACACACTTGAGCCAGCAAAGCACCGACTTCACGCATGAAGCCAACAGCAATTTCAACTGAATCGTCAGTAGGTCTCTCCAACAAGAGCGCCAGGATTTGAAGAGCAAGCACTTTATCGGCCATGAGTTGGTTGGTCAAATGAGCTATGAACATGGTGGTAGCGAGACAGGAGATCTATGTAGCTTGTTAGGCAGTCTATCCATACACGCGATTAAAACAACGTCTTACCTTGTCATTGCGTCTGAATGCTCTTCTGAACTGAAGCACTAAACGTGTGAGTAGCAGAGCACCCACAGCAGGTAGTTTTGTGTTAACAACAGCTGTAACCGCAGCGTACACAGGCGTGAAGGGTAAACTGGCTTGCTGTGCCTTCATCATACTGCGACAGTACAGGCCTCGTCCACGAATCAGGTTTTCGCCAAACAGTTCTGGTATAATCATCTTGATGTTGGATGTGTTTACTTTGTTGATGAGACCATTGATGGACTTCTTGAGGGCTTCCCAGGTAATGCGCTGATATTCTTCGCTGCTCGTGTCTTTGATAGATTGTTGCATTTGACGCAATCGATGAGGTGGGATGTATGCGCCACCAGCACGAGTTGAATTTCTGCTTACTTCCATTTGTTTTACAGCACCAACACGCTCTCTGGACTCGACTTGGCTACTCATCTATGTGTGTGTGGGTTTGTTTAATCGAAAGAAACAAAAGATGATAAGAGGGGATACGAAAAATTTCATTTTCATCCTTGACAAAGGCAAACAGTCACCTGACAAGTATTGCCATCACTTCAAAAGGCACTAATTTCATACAGAATGTTACTGTAGATTAATGATCTGTAAGTAGATGGAAGGCTTCATAGCCTGAGCAGCTTGATTTCATGTACAATGCCTTCTTTGCTCGCTGGAATGGAGTGTATCGTAGCACATCATCCCATGGCCCCAGTTCATCTCCGTCAGGTAACGTACATTGCAGATCGAAAAGAGTCTATATGTACTCAATGGCACAATGTCAATTCTTGGATCTAAAGAGTAAAAAATCCTTATTCTATATACTAAATAAGCCTTCGCATACCGCATTTAGTTTCAACATCATATATCCTGGAAACATGCTCATCTTTGCAATTTGAAGCAATATTTGAGCACTCTACTGTAAGATTTGGAACTTTTTAGTACACCGTATGTTATGTGATTCATTTGTTCTCTTTTCGAGCTAGCTACAGGTCGTAAAAAATGCATGAAAAAGTGTTGATATAAGGTTCGAACTGATATGAATCAACTTCAATGCGTCAAATGTCTTGATCCAAACTTGAGCTACATTATACTAATGACATAATAGGCGTCTTGCATGATTCAAGCAGAGATTTCATTCCAGACACAAAAGATGTGTTGGCTCAAAGCACTCATCTATTTATCAGATCATCAGTGGCTGGCATGCAAGCACTCAGGAAGCCTAGACGGGACATTGGGCTTGAGGTCCATGCCACGGAGTTGAAAGGTCTAGCGTCTTACATGAATGTTACAGCACAGACATTTGCTTTCTGTTTTCTGATTTAAGTACTAGGAACAGCAGACAAGAGCTTGTTTGCATGATTGATGGCTCGCTCAGTAACGCAGATCATCCACCAAGACGAGCCAATGTCTTTCTCTTCATAAGCAACATTGTACATGTTCGTATCAAATTACAGATTTTATTTTTATTTTTTAGTTTTATTGCATCAAAACAAAAGGACAGAGCAAAAGATGGATGTTATTCCAGTTCTCAGCACATCTTTTATTGAATCTCCTTAGATGAGAGTCTCGTAAGGGATAGGAGCAAGAGTTTGAGGAACGTTGAACTTGGTAGAGATGTGACGAGCCTCACGAGGTTGGGCAGGAATTCTCTTCAAGTTGAAAGAGACTAGAATTCAACACACATTAACACAACGCCTTTCATCATGTTATTAAATACTTTTACTTACCACCGGCTTCCTTGGCTTCCTTCTTCTTTTGGGCGTTGGAAACAACACGGTCCAAGAATTCTTGACGACACTTGGAGTGCTTGATGTGTTCAACACGAACGTTAACACGCTTCTCCAAATAACGGTTACCAACGTTCTTGTGAACGAGGACACCAACAGAGGACTTGGTGACGTTGTAGATGACACCAGTACGACTAGATTCCAGCGCAATCCCATGTCAATATCTTCCATCAAATCTCACATGTTTGATTGCTATATTTACCCGTGGTAGAACTTGTGGGGCATACCCTTTTGGACAGCAGCGTTAGCCTTGATGTCGACAATATCACCAACCTTGTAGGTCTTCAAGTAAGTGGAGAGAGGGATGGAACCATGCTCTCTGAACTTACGAGAGAACATGTGGCGAGTACGAGCGCGAACTAAATTTCAAAATCAAACAATACAATCAACAAAACTGCAAATCCACACACGATACATATATCCTATAACGCAAATACACATATCGGCATAAATGTTGAAGCGACTACTTACGACCAAACGAGTGAGGCATCTTGTACGAAGTGGTATGGAAAGAGACCGAAAAAAGGAGCTGCAAGGAAAAAAATTGTTATTAAAAGAGAGTGCTCATTGAAAAAAAAAAAATTGTAGTGGCTTAGTACATTTAGATGATATAGCTCAATAGAATACTTGAAATAGAAGGGTATATATCAAATGTAGCATTGCGAATGCGATGCATCATACATTGGCTAATGATACGAACCGCAACATTTGATCTGACATGTTGTTGCCATAGCAACGATCAGGATGCCAATTGCCATTGTAACGGCTGAGTGGCTGTAACTTTTGATGTATCATGGATACATTCAATCATTTGCTGATACACCAAAAGTGTCTTGAATCAATAGTGGCTTATTCATTGCAAGCCAATCAAGGTAGTAGTAGTGGAAAATTTTTTACAATTCATACAGTTGTTACTGGGTTTTTACTGATTTGAATAAAATAGAACATCAAATGTGGAAATCAATTAGTTCTTTCTCTTTAACATTTACTTACAAGTATGACCGGTGCTTCCAGAACCTACAGTAAGACTTCTACTGTCCCTCGTCGTCCCTTCGAGTCTGCCCGTCTTGATCAAGAACTCAAGTTGATCGGTGAATTCGGTCTCAAGAACAAGAAGGAAATCTGGAGAGTCGGATTGACCCTTTCCAAGATTCGTCGTGCTGCTCGTGAGCTTTTGAAGCTTGATGAAAAGGATCCTCGTCGTCTTTTCGAAGGTAATGCCCTTATTCGTCGTCTCGTCCGTATTGGTGTCCTTGATGAATCCCGTATGAAGCTCGATTACGTTTTGGCCTTAAAGATTGAAGATTTCTTGGAACGTCGTCTCCAAACCCAAGTCTTCAAGTTGGGTCTTGCCAAGTCCATCCATCACGCTCGTGTCTTGATCCGTCAACGCCACATTCGTGTTGGTAAGCAAATCGTCAATGTTCCCTCTTTCATTGTTCGTTTGGATTCTCAAAAGCACATTGATTTCGCTTTGACTTCTCCTCTCGGTGGTGGTCGTGCTGGTCGTGTCAAGAGAAAGAGAGCTGCTGCCGGTGCTGGTGGTGAAGACGCTGAAGATGATGAAGAGTAAAATCTTTCATTAGCATATATGAACCTTTGCAAATAAACCTTATGATGCTTTTATTTTCCAAAATAATTCATCTCAATTGCAAAGCACCTGTCGTTATTTATTCCTACAATAAATGGCACAGTATCATATCCTCCCCCCTCCTTTGGTCTCAATCTATGGAAGCAGAGAGAAACTTTGAGCGATCATGTTTAACCCTCTGTATATACCCTTCCTCTTGCTTTCATGATTGTCCAAGGATTGAGGCTTATGAGTACATTTTGAACATTTGTAATTGGGCGTCTGATTTCTTACTAATGACTAAGTTTTTTATTTTGCATGTGTATATGTATATAAGATTAAGTCTTCAAAGAGCAAAGAACTGTTCGCCGTTCTTTTCCATTCTACCACGATTACCAAACGAAATGCGCAAATCATAGATTAAATCGTTCCATTCTCTCCAAAGCGATCTCTTTCCGAAAATGACAAACAACCAGATACCCTGAGTACTCACCAGCGTTTCAGCCGCCATCATGAGGCCGTAAGGAGGCAAATGATCTCGAATGATAGTAACGCAGCTATTTTGATGGCCACCAGGGGACAACATGCACTCTAACCAGTGGTTTGTGATACTCTGATCTCGTTCCAAGCTCACAACACGATGGATTTGAGTAAAGTAGAAAATCCAGTAAAAGATGACAGTTCCACTCGAAAGAATAGCTAATAAGAGTGCACGCCATTGGATCTGCACAGCTGTAATGACATGCTTATGGCGACGAGCAGGCGAATGACCCGCCATAGAGCCACGAGATAGGGATTGAGACATGTCTGACTGCACGCCTTCTTGGATAGCAATCTTTGTAATGTAGACAAATGTGGCAATATGGACCACAAAGGCAGGGCATACAATGGCAGCCATAGGGTAGAAGAACAGCTCAAAGATCCTGTCTACTGCTACCAGACACAAGTTGGCAAATTCAAACTTGACTTGATGCAAACCGACAGATACAGCCATGATCACAGCAGGATAGCCCCAGCACAAGATGTTGAGAATGAAGTAGCGATTGGTAAAGAAATTAGAGTTCCATACAGTGTGCATATGGAGGTTGAGAATCAGGGCAGCACTCCAGCAGCATGTAGCCAAAGAAGCGAAAATTAAGATTGCGCCTATGCGTTTTGTTATACATGTTAAAGGAGTCTGTGTGCGCATGTACTTGTGCGTGTGTGTGTGTGTGTGTGTGTCTCCTTACCTTGTGTAGCACACAGCGCATTGTTATCTTGTGTGCTTACAGCAACCGCATTAGCGCATTGGAGACGTTGAGGGTTACCAATGGAAAAGTACACTACAAAACTGAACAAAAAGATACTGGCAGATACGTTCAAAATGAGCAATGAAGGATGTCTTCTCTTGTCGGGAAGCACCAAGTAGCTGACGAGCATAAAGAAGGACACAATAGATGAGATGAAACGGAGGATATCCGTTGCTAAAAATCCGTGCACGGCCCAACCTTCAGGATAGAACTAGAGGAACGGAAACAGAGGGGGGTGTGAGCTCTCATTCTAGCTAGTAGCAGACATATAAACACGACTTACATAGTTCTGTGCAGGACAAGGGATACAACAACCAGCACGACAGTAGATATTGTTGTTTTGGTCAACGAGCCCTGGCTTTGCATTAGGATCCTTCAAGAAAGGAGATGGACATGCGTCCATAATAAAACCAGGTGTTAAGGCAGATAAATTATAGAAGGCATGGGGATCTTCAATTTGAGGTGCTATCGCATTGCAAGTGGAAGCATCTGATGAAAGGCGCTGTCTAGTAAGAGGAGACTTTTTGTTACAGTCTGGCAAAGCGCCCTTGCCAGTCAACATGAAAATATTTGTACATTCGTAGTGAACATCTTGGCAGGCTTGCTGACATCCCATTTTAGGTGCTGCAGCAGCATTTTCACCACATTTGGGATAAGCAAGAGAACAGGAATAGCGGTAGTAGGCATCGACACAGGAAGGAGCGACATGGCCCAGCAGTTTGCTCATATTGACCAATTGGCCCAGTTGTTGTTCAATCATGGCAACAGGTGCGCCTTTTGTAAAGACAGAGTAGTTGATAAAACCCTGTGCTTTACATGTTAATTTTCCCCTTGGCATGTCTCATTAAAGGTGTGTAATACTAACATGGCAAATACCGTTATCAGGATACGAAGTACATAGACCTGTGATGGATGGCAAGGTGAGTATATATATATATATATATATATTTCCACTGAAAGGGTCTTACTTGGTGGAGGGCCAGCGCTTGTGCTATTATTACTACTACTGTTATCCATCTCTGTTGTATTAGCTGGTTTCTGAGCCAGGGCCACACTGAACAGTGCAAACAGCACCATGTAAATGTCAAAAATAAACTTCATTTCCAAAATCTATTTCTTGTCAGTCCGCAGATAGATTTGTATGTATTCAAGTAATGGAGAGAGATAAGGGTATATGGAGAAGATGTAAAGAGAAGAATAGAGAGCAAGATGTGGGCAGATGTCTGTCGAAAATCAGCTCAATTTATACAGCATGTCGAATACGACAGAAATCAAATGCTGTGCTTGTGTGTAGCACCCCTCTCACTGTCTCTCCTCTGTCTCTTTCTCTTTGACACATTGAGTACATCGTATTTTAGGGAAACCTTAAAACACGAACACTCAATCTTGTGTGTCTTGTGAGTTTCTGCTTTTACCGTTTACATGCTGCTTAATGCTGCTGGATGCTGTTTGTTGTTTTGTGATGCTTGCTGCTCCTATGTATTCCTCTCCTTTAATGATAGATGGTATTTGAATAACAAACTACAATGACTACAGATTTGACATGTAGAAGAAGGAGAGAAGAAAGAGAGAGAGAGAGGAGAGGGGGGGGGGCGGGAAAGCATGGAGGGGACACTATCACCATTCAGGATGGCTTCCGTTTAATTAGCTTCACACTCGAAGTTTCTGTTGGTTGCTTTCAAAATTACATTCAATGTGCGGCTCAAGGATCTACATCATGTCTTACATACATGCCAATCACTCTTTAATCATGGTCGTATTCTCAGGATAGGCTCAAACAATAAAGTAGCCGAGATTCATACTCCATACTATCGTTTTTATTAGAGCATGATCGTGTGTGGTATATATGTATTATGAAGATTTTATCACGAGAGCAATGTCTTGAGGTTGCTGTTGTAATAGTGTTGATTTGACTATCTGCTTTTTTCTCTTTAATTGCCTATAGCAAATAGACATGCTGATATACAGGAATATCACTAGTGACAAAACCCATATGAACAGTGTATTTGATTCCTGCTGGATGATGGTGCCGGGTTCATGTTCTACTTGGACAATGTGCGTCGGTAGCGGATCGATGGCTGCTGTGGTGGTGGTCGTGGCCGTGGTGATAGTCGCTGGTAACACCTTTCTTTTCAATGTGAATTCAGTCTCTGGCAACAGGTGAAAGTTATCATAGTCAATCTATGTAAGGCTCAGTATCCCACATGAATCAAGAAATCAACCGAGCTTACCACTATCATGCCTTGCAGCTTTAATTCAGTTACGGGTTTCGTTGCAATCATATTCCAACCAACATTTACAGGCCACTCTTTTAGTTTAGGATCAATATGTCCTAATACAGCCATAGAATCAGGCTCTATCTGATCTTGCTCGTCCTCGTCGTCATCGCAGGCAACTGAAGTGAATAAGTTTGTATCAAAATCCTGGAATTCGCCCAGCGTTTTGTTGGTATGTCTGTCTTTGACTAAGAGTACGATGCCCTGATACGCAAATCTCCCTGTCAGATGTATGTTGACCAATGAAGGTGTGTCTGTGGATATCTTGACACCGTAGCAGTCTTTGCAGGTTGATTTTGATGGACCATGGCCGATGGTGGCCATTTTATTCATATTACACTAGGAGATGTGTAAGTTGGCTTTGGAGCATGTACAGTGCACGACTACTTACTGTGCCCGGAGCACTTGGGTAGGCTGCTACTAGGCCCAAACATATCAATATCGCCAGTAGCCGCTTTCTACACATGTGAAAAAAAAAAAAAAGAAATAAGAGAGAAAAGAGAGCCTTTAGCCATGTGTAACCCCTAGCGTTTTTTTTTATTTAAATTTTTTGAATCGAGTTCATTGGCGTAAACCCATTCTATTCTTTTCTGATTCAAGTCTCGAGTACAAGAGATAAAGTGCCATTTGGTTGCTTTCAGGTGAACCAGTAACGGTAACTAACCGCTCATTTGTGTCGCCATGAGGATCTGCAATTTTGATGTGGCTTCCACTCAACTGTCTAATTTCGTTAATCTTGCTACCTCCTTTTCCAATGATGCAACCAACCTAATGCGTATGATTAGAATGTGTGCTCGACATTTACTGAGGAATAAAACACTCACCATCTCGTTAGGGATAAATATCTGCTGTGCCTGAGATGATCCAGTCATGCCTGGCATGCCACTCATGGCACCCATGGCACCCATACCTCCCATAGGGCCCATGCCCATACCATAGTCTTGTTGTCGAGAATGAGGTAGACCACCATAACTACCCATAGCAGCAGAACTTGATCCACCGGGTCCGCCCCCGCCTCCTCCATAGTAGAATTGACTTGCATTGTTGATTGGCATACCTCCCATAGGCATCATGCCACCGTACCCCATGGCAGCAGCGGCAGCGGCAGCAGCGCCTCCTCTCATGTTCATGTTCATGTAATTTCCTCCACCTGCATTACTGCTACTGCTATTTCCACCACGACCACCACTATGATGCATTGCAATAGGACGATAATGTACAAGGCTGGGAGAAGGGCGATCCATGTGATCCAGCAAAATCTTGGCGATACGAGACACTGCCTGTTCGACTGCTGATGGTGTACCTTGCACAGACACAGTGCGTTCCGTAGACATGGGTAATGGCTCTTCAGATGCATTCAAACGAGCACCACTGTCGTCTTGGATGGACTTGATAACAACACCACCTTTGCCGATCAAGGTACCCATTTTGCTGTCAGGCACGAGCAATTTGATGACTATGGTTTGTTCACCATGAGCATTGCTTTCTTCGGGCTGTGCGTGTTCCGATATGATTTTTTCCCCAACGAGAGCATAAGCCTACTGTAATGTAAGCAAATGCAAGCTGTGCAGCCTAGTTGACAACCACCACTTACCTTGGCAACGGCCGCCATGGGTCCGGATACTGTCAATATTCTTTCATATGCGCCAGGTATAATGTCAGAGATTGTGACACGAGCACTTGAAGATTCACGGATATCACTGACATTCTTTCCACCACGTCCAATAATAACACCTGCATCTTTGGTACCAACTAGCGAACGGATAGCGATTGTCTCTGCTTGGTCATCGTGTTGTTGTTGTTGTTGTTGTTGTTGCTGTTGTTGTTGCTGTTGTTGTTGCTGTTGTTGCTGCTTTTGGTCACTGGAAGCGTGGTTGTGAGAAGTTGGTTCAGGGCGTATTTTCTCCTCGACTTCATCCTCAGAGTCGTGCTCTTCCCACTTTTTTCTTCGACTTGTCTTTTCCGGAGATGACGCATCTTTGGTATGGCTAGCAGGCGTGTCATCCGACGAAGGAATAAAATGAGGTGCTTTGGTCTCTGGATCGAGCACTGCTAATCTCTTGGGATGGCGATCTTCCTGGCCATCTCTCTCGTAATCTGAATCCCATTCTTCGTCTTCAAAGCGAGGCCTCTTTGATCTATCAATAGGAGAACCACTGTTATTTTCGTTATCTGACATCTATACAGAATGTAAGTGCTGTTGTGCGCGCGCAGCGTGGTATTCATGCCAGTGACGAGATGTTTTACCTTTTTGCAATGAGAAATGTACAATCAAATGCTTTTGAATGAGGAAAAAAAGATGTAGGGTTATGAAGGAAGAAGGAAGAAAGAAAAAAAAGATGAAGTTTATGCTTTTTTTGTTATATGAGAGGGTTGTGCTGTGTCGGGTGTGCTCTGGGAAGAAGAAAAACGACAGTGTAAGGATTTCAATGTATCAAGCAGAGAAAAAGTAAAGGTTTGCAAGTTTACAAGATGAGACACCAAAAGGCATCTTTTCTATCTTGAAACAAGCTCATGTTTTTTTTTTAAAAAAAAAAAGATGCTATAAATACCAGTGTGAATATGCCTGTAGGGAATGCTATTCTGTTTAAAAGCAAATACTGCTGTTGCTCTTGTGTTGTGGTCTTGTTTATCGAGTGATATATAACAGATATATATATATATATATATACCAATTTGAAAGGAAGGAAGAAAAATAGTGTTGTTCGTCAGCCGTTCTGTTGTATACAGCCAAGGACTGCTTTACCACACCCCATCTGGATGCCATCTTTGTCATGATCTCTGCTCCTTTTGCTATGTTTGGTAGTTTTCAGGGGTGGCAAAGGCGTATTATGGTCGGATACAATAGCATCTATCCACTTGTGCTATCCTGATAGCAAGCAAGTTTCGAAGATCGCATCACACAGTTTAGTGACATTGAACAAGTGACACTCTATGTACACATTTGACAGGAGAATCAATGCGTTTGATCCAGGTAATTCGTTGATCTGTAACTTGCATACATGTGCATTTTGGAATGACAATGATGCTATCCTTGATGCTTGTATACCAGTGCATAAACAAAATGAGGACATTGCTGATGATTATACAGAAAATAGCAGCTGAACGCTGGTCCGATGGCTGTTGGATCAAGTGTAGCTCAGATGAAGAACACATGGCAAATGCTTGAACCGAAAAAAAAAGAAGCATGAATTCATTTAAGCATTTTAATAAAGAATCTCGGTAGGATGAATGGAAGCTTCTCAGGTTGAAGCTGTGTGTAGCACTACCGAAGAATAAGGAGGACAAGTACATATTTTTTTAAATTGCTCTCTTCCCATGTGGATCAGAGTTCCATCAGTTCTTTTTTACTGCTGTTCCTTCTTATATAATGCTCTCTTGTGGTAGCCACAGCCTTTTCGCTCGAGTCATAGAATTTAACAACCATGTACACCATGGTTACATTAATACTTGCTGATAATAAAACACAGTTGGATTGTGGGCAGATGCTCATTTGATAGCCTGTCAGCGTGATACCTGCAATAAATTGGATAATCTCAAAGAACAAGGCGACATTCTATTGTGCTCTGTTTGTGTGAGTTGCTTTTGGGACATGAGACAATGAGTCAAATACTGACCTTGATCCAAGCGGCTGTGGCCGAACTATTTGTGCAGTGACAAAAGTAATAGCAGTATCTAAACATCTGCACAAAGCTAATGATGGCTGTTGCTGAACTATATTTTCCAGCGCTTCTGTCAATTCCCGTGCTTCTCTAATTTGCCTCTTATATTTTACCTTCCAAATATGCTCTGATCTTGTATCCATGACCACAGCATGAGAATAACAAACATATGCTGGTACCAGTGCAAGAAGGGTATCGATTTCTATGCGCACACAGTGTGAATTGCACTAGTTTAGTAGCATGGCTGTTGTCATTTACCTTTCTTAATGCCAGAATCACTGTATCAAAGAACACATAGTACCGCAGCAAATAGCAAATGTACATGGAGTAGAACATTTGGCCGCCATACTGATGATACGCAGGGTACTGAGCAGCATGGCAGTAAGGAAAGATGCCTGGTGCGTGTCTCTACAATACAGCAATGAGTATATGAGGGTGCATGTTGTCTACATGGCATTTACCACAATATTCCAAGTGGAAATGGAAGATATATACCACACAAATGTACTGCAGATAATCATGGAGCCATTGTAAAACTGCAACACGTTGTGCGTTTTATCGATTCTCGTTCTCTCTGCCATATACCAGCGAACAGAGATGATGACTATAAAATAGGCAATCCAGCTTGCATAGATGACCTGCTGCTGTATCAGCCTACTGCCATGCATAAGAGAGCCTCTTTACTTACGCTAAGATCAGACATGGGCGTAACCCCATAGACCCATTCAAAGTGGTTCATTCCTGCTGGATTCAAGTGATGCCAATTCCAAACAAACATGATGTTAATAAGAAAAAGAGAGATGATGCATTTAATTCGGTTTCTAACACTGTAACTATCATCATGATTCATCCCATCGGTTGAGCTAACGGTCCAAAGTCTGTATTGAAATGGCACTAAATCAGGGTCTCTCCTCACACAAGAGTAAGAGAGGGCAATTTAGCCAAGCAATGCCTCTAGCTGATTGCTTATAAATGAGCAGTTACACCAATACGATCCATTTGATCAATTCTACCAATATTTTCTGTTTTTAATTGAAATTTAATATAACGAGAAGAAATACAAGAAGAAACAGAAAAAAAGATAGAATGCCTGGAAAGGAAACACATAATAAATGGTGTGGTATTACAGTCATTTCATATATAAAGACACTCTGCAATTGGGTTTCTGGTTCCTGGATCTCTCTCTCTCTTGTCTTTCCTTTCTCCTCCTCTACCTCTATCAGCTCAACCCAACCCATTCCTTATACATTACTGTTATTTGAATGCAAATAATAAAGCCAGTCATTCTTGTAGCTGCTGCTTCAACCGCATCCGCCTTTAGCTTGAGAAGTGGAATCGCTATCGTTCATGGCAACCTGTCCCTGCCTGTCAATGCCAATTTTGCTGCTAGCTATTTAGCTCCATTTGCGCCCGAAGATGCTGTTGAACAGCCATTCGAATTGATTGATGACCACGAAGATCTCGTTACCAACCGCCATGGCAACATTGTCTCCCTAAGAAAGCGAGCCGATGATTGTCAAAAGTACCACAAAGCCATCTCTGGTGATAATTGCTACACATTGGCTCTTAAGTACAATGTCCCGGAAGATAGTCTTTACGAATGGAACGACCAAATCAACTCCAAGTGTACTAACCTCTACATTGGCAAATCTTACTGTGTCAAGAAGGACGGCGAGGCCATCTTGGAAACTGCATGCACCAAAATCTATGTTGGTAAAGTGTCTCGCCTTGCCATGCTGCACTCATGATGACTAATGCCCACATCTTGATGATAGTTCAAAGCACTGACACATGTATCTCGGTATCCAAAGCACATGGCATTGAATTAGACGTCTTTTACAAGATGAACCCCTCAGTCAACAAGGGCTCCTGCAACAATTTATTGACTGGCGGTTCTTACTGTGTCAAGGAATCCACCAAGAACGTTTCTAATGCCATTGTTAACAAGGCAGCAAAGATATCCTCCGCTACGACCGCCACTACGACTACTACCAAGACCAGGAAGCGTCGTAGCACCAAGAGAAAGTCTCGTTCTACAAGAGCTTCATCCACTCGTCGTGCCAAATCCTCCCAGAAATCAAAGTCTACTACCATTACTAAAAACACAACTACAACAACTGCCACTACTGCGACCAGAACCACGATCACCACTACTACCAAGGAACCTACTACCACGACCACCACTACTACCAAGGGACCTACTACCACGACCACCACTACTACCAAGGAACCTACTACCACGACCACCACTACTACCACAACAAGAACCACGACGACTACCAAGAGGCCCACTACTACCAAAAACGGAGAAGAACCCAAGGCCACCAGCTCCTCTGAAAAAAAGGATAGCCGTAAATTGCTTCAAAAGAGTTCTGATTTGACCTACTACTGGATTGCTCACCCTGACGATTATGAACATGGAGGAAAATCTGTTACTGTCAAGACCTGTAATGGCGACAGTCTTGGTACCGTCTCTGAAAAGTACGCTGATGCCTTGGTCATGGAAGGCACTGGTATTATCGGCAACAAGATCATCAATCTCGGTGGTTGCTCTTGCAGTGACTACAAGTGTTTCATGGAAGTTGACAAAAAGGAAGATCCATATGGTTTGACCTCTTTCGGCAGCCCTCTTCGTCCTTTTATTACTATTGCTGCTAACGACATCAAAAGAAACACCAAGATCTATGTTCCTTCCATTGACGGCTGGGAAATTCCTGGCAGTTCCAAGAAGCACAATGGTTGCTTGCTTGTTGATGGTACATATATAATTTGTTTAATTGAATAATGTAGTACAGTGCTAACCATTCTGTCTGTTAGATCGCAGCTGGAGCTTCGATAGTAACCATATTGATTTCTATGTCTACCGCGAAAAGAACTATCGTTTGTTGAACGGCGAGCACAAGGTCAGCTCTGTCGACATTTACGAAGGGGGTGATTGTCATCTCCTCAACTATATCTAATCTCCCCCCCCCCCCTATTGACATACTATATACACTTTTTTTTTTATTGTTAAGCAAATATAGTCTCTCCAAATGATGTTGTAATAAAACGACTTGAATCATTTTCCTCTATTTTACCGTATAAATCAAACAACTGCTGGATAGGTGATAGATACGGTTCGTTGGATTTCATAAATGTGCCCCAATGAATACCAATAGAAATTCTGGGTGATCCCAAATCAACGTGTGCCTGGATTGCCTCTTTGGGCGTCATATGGAGTGATTTCAGCATGGCTTGTGGTTCAAATGTGCCAATAGGCAAAGCGGCCATAGTGAATGGGGAATAGATGTCTCGTATAGATTGGAATAATTCAGGGACGTAGCCTGTGTCACCACTGTATAATTGAATAGAGTTAGTCTGTGATTATACTGTATACACATCAGCTCTCATCTCTCACCAGAAAAAAATCCTTTCGCTTTGACTCTTGATCACAAAACTGCACCATAATGACTCTTCCTTCGGACTCGTGTGCATGGATGGCACGCTAGCAATGACAATGCCAGAATGTCCCTTGTGATGCATCTCTTGCCACCAGTCCAATTCTATCACATTGACTATTCCCTTTTTGAAGAACCAGTCTCTCAATCCCAATGGTATGTACCAAGTAGCGCTGTCTCCTATTTGCTCCACTGCTTTTTCGTCTAGATGGTCAAAGTGCTGATGAGATACTAGCACTATGTCTATGTTTCCAATGTCTTGCAATGAGCATGGTGGTGGGCGAAGCCGTTTGGCGTGCTCAAACACAGGATCTGTCAATATTCTGAGACCATCCAGCGTAATCAGACACGTAGATTGACCGAGCCAAGTCAAGCTTGTATTGTTGTGGTTGAAATCTGGCCTCGTCATGGGCAATGTATCAATGAGATCCTTGCAGACGATGGGTCAATCTCTCTCCCTCTCTCTCTCTCTATTTGTGTGTACGTTCCACTACTTACTTGCTCGATTTTGGGTATTTGATTATTGTTGTTAATGCCAAACCAATACAAAATAGAGTCTACAAATGAGATGCTCGGTTGCGTCCACTCGGCAAATGGATTCACATATTCGTGCTCTATCTTGAGGCTTGCAAATTTCTCCTGCTTTCTCTTGAGATGTTTGCGTTTATGTACCACTTGTTGTCGAATCGCTTCTTTGAGGTCTGCTTTGTGTGATGCTTGCAGTGAATAGTATAAAAATGCGCTTGCTCCCACTGTTGCAATCAGAGTGGGTATAGTGTATGGATGATCAAACGGTATAGGAAAGTTGACAAAGGATAGTCGTTTATTGCTTGATACAGGCATATGTATATATATATATATATATAAGCGTAGAGTGGTGAGAAAAAAAGAAAAGAAAAAAAAAGAGAGGGAATAGGAACAAAGTTTAAGAGTTAATTTGTATAGTATACAACAGTGTACTTAGCATGGCCAATCAATCTACAGTATCAAAGTCATCCTTGATTCCAAATGTTTGATCAAATAACTGTCTTTCCATGCCAAACTTGTTGACGCAATACGATTGCATCTCCCAAACACTCTCTGTCCATCTGTTGGCAGCTTCTTTGGCAATCTTAGATGCCTTTTCTTTCTTGTGGTATAATTCTGGATCATTCTCCTTGTATTTTTGTAACTCTGCCTGTAATTCTTTGTTTGTATTCTGCTCCTGCTTCAATTCTGCTAGTAATTGCGCTCTTTCTTCAGTCTCTTGTCGATCTTGAGTTGCTTCCTGGATCAATTGCTGCAGTTTCTTCTTCTTTTCCTCTTGCTTCTCCACGCTTGAGGTCAAATCCTGCAGTTTGTTGCGCTTGGTCTGAATGACTGCGGATGGATATGACCAAAAGTAGTTTGATGTGCCAATCTTGTCCGTTGTAACAAGCCCATCATCCACCAAACCCATCAGGATGTCTTTGATAGACTGTGAGGTAACGCCCTTCTTTACACCTAACTTTTCGATATCTTTCAATTGATAGAATTCACCCTAAAGCCAATCATGTTATTTATCGCTCATTGACAGGCATTTGTTGGTCTCCTATTTACACTGTCATGAAATAAACTGATGATTCGCTTTCTTTTTTCCTCGACTGAAAGACCTTTCTACAATTAGCGCATGAGCCATCTAGAAATTGATGATTGATAGCTTCCTTACAGCCATGTTGATGGATTTTGAAGTTTAAAGCAAGAGAGCAAAAAAAAAAAAAAAAAAAAAAAAAAAAAAAAGAAAAAGAAAAGCATTAACACCCGCATTAAAAATGAGAATCGCTTTAAAAAGCAGTACACAATGCGAAATGCATCTTAACAACCAGACATGATCTTGGCACTGGATGGCCTTTTGGTATCTTTGAAATATCAGTTAGATAGCAAAAGAAACATCCTTCATTGACACTCACGAAAAAAAAAAAAAAAAAAAAAAACGCAAGATGTGAACCAGCAGTTTTAATTAAGGTATTTCCAACACCTTCTCTACCGACCTGTCACTAGTAATGAAGGGGTTGTATTTAAACAAAGTACCCTCTACACCTTTTACTGGACATACAACCAACATTCATATAGTAATCCAATGACTTTTATTAGTAGCATCTGTCCATAATTTGTACATTTCAAAAATCTCACTTTCCTCAACCACATCTCTTCCTATCTAAAATCCAATCACACCATCGTCTTCTACGCAAAATTTCGTTATACTAACTTGCTAATTTCAAAGCTCGAATTTCAAAATCGAAATTCAAAGAGAAATCAAAAGAGAAATCAAAGCGAATAGAGAAAGCCAGTGAGCGATGATTCCAAGGTATAACCCCTGCCACGGCTGCTGTCGCAAGTCATGTTGAACTGTTTCGTATAGAGGACAAGAGGACAAAAGAAGATGAGACTGTAAATATGGAGCTTTATGATGCTTTTCGCTGATGCTGTTCAATTGCATTATGCACGTAGCACCCCAACACATAAATCTTTCACAGATGGTGTCTTTGAGGAGATGGGAGATGCTGAGAAGGAATATTCGTTTTGAAAGCGTATAATTCCAGCATTTTCTTATGGTTCGTAAACTTCAATGGGATCTACAGAAGCATGATGTATTATAGTGGTTGCATGCTTTTGGCGATGGATCCTGTTTAGTGATCTATGCCTTCAGATCTTACCATCCAGCATATTATTCTCATATGATTTCAAGCAATCTCGGTTCTATAGGTCGACTTTCTGTTTTCCATAGCAACAAACTTTATTTTCACCAACCCATCTTCTTCTGGTGGTTGGTGCATCAAGTACAGTAATCTAGCAATCTACTTGTAAAAGCGGGAACTCTACTTTTGATCGTATGATCAGTTGATCCAAGCGCAAAAAATCCCAGCAAAGAATGTCTTTATTGCAAGTGGCCTGTGCAATCTTCACTTTACAGAACCACGAGTGAACACCAAATCTTCATTAGTCAATCATTGTACTTGCAGCATCTGGTCGCAGTAAATCTTCTTCTGCCTACTTGTTTAGCCATCGTAGTAGTGCGTATCAATAAGCGCCAAGGAAAACAATGGACAATATGAGTCGAAATAAAGACTTTCTACAATACTGATTTGCTGATATCAGAAATGTCAGCATAAGACTATGTGAGCAACTTGATTATCCTGAAAGCGATGAATTACAACTAATAATGCAAGGGTTACTACAATTCGAACTTGCAATGTTTTGATACCGGTGAGGACATGCGCCTTGCAATAAGTGAATGAGTCGCGATATAGGAGAGCTTGGTGGTTGCTAAACCCAGTAGAATCACAGGCAGAGCCCAGTATTCATCGTCGATGAAGTTAACGGAGCAATGAATACAAGCCTGCCTTTACCCCTGCAACGCAAAGATGAGATTGCGTTTGGTGAATAACTTTCTAAACAACTTGCTATGCTGGAGGGGCTTAAGGATCAGGACGCTGTTGAGGCAGGCGAGCTCTTAAACATGGCTTACAATGGATATTGACCCCGTATCCAACACTAGTCGCTTGGCAGCGTTGAAATAGCATTGACAACATCAACCATTGTAAAAAAAAAAAAAGCACTTTATTTACAAGAAAATTGATTATGGGCGCACTTGTGGTGATCTGGTGCTTGTAGTTCCATTCTATTATCTCGGTTGAGGGATACAATGGCAGTTGAGAATACAGGCTCATCTATTGATGGTATCTGATATTAGCTGTTTGCCCTCTCGTCACGAAACATCATTGCTCACACAATCAGAACTTACAATATGGTCTTGTATACAAAATGCCCAGCTATAAACGTGTTTCATCATGTCAAGACGAGTTAGATTCCACATTCACTGTCATCATCAGCACCTTGTTCTTCTTTTTCAGCTATCATGTAGATAGAGGAAATGAGATATGTAGCGATAAAGGAGAGGGTAGCAACTGAATACTTCATCTTAATTGATTAATGCCAATTCATGTGGTAGCAGCGTTCATTTTATAGCATTTGAGAATCCAGGAGAGCGAAATGCATACGATGTAATTTCCAAGTGCGTGCAGAAAATCAAGGGAGGAAAAACCAGAATCAAGTTGGGCAGATCAGGAGTATTCTGTCTCTTTCTCTACTCCTTGTTTGTGCCATGTTGCATGAAAAGAAGAGGCTGTCATGATTCTCAAATGTCACAGAGTCACGAAGTGGTTAGCGGGAGGACGCGACAATATGGATCCGTTGATTATTTCGGTTCAAATTCAACGCGTGCAGAGCTTTTCTGTCTCTCTTTTTATCTGCTTGTACCATCATTGTCCACACCATGAGTTTCTTTGCGCCAAGAACAGCATCCAGCAACAACGCCAGTAACAAAACGACGCACGCTGAAAAGCAAGACTTGTTGAAAAAGAGTCAGCCTTGGGTTGAGAAATAGTAAATCATTCATGTACGATTGACATACTGACAGGACAACTGATAAAGCCCTCTTTGCTAGCCGTCCAAAGACCATGGATGACATTTCCTCACAGGAACAAGCAGTACTCGTCTTGAAAAAAGCGCTTCAGTCAGACAATGTAAGTCTCAGATATCACTAGATCCAGGTGCAGTCCAACTCATGCTATGGTTAGTTGCCTCATTTGCTCTTTTACGGTCCTCCAGGTACTGGTAAAACATCCACCATTTTGGCATTAGCAAACGAATTGTACGGCCCCAAGCTGATGAAGAGTCGAGTGTTGGAATTGAACGCATCAGACGAGAGAGGCATCCAAATTGTGCGTGATAAAGTCAAGAATTTTTCTCGCACCACAGTAACAAACAAAGTAGAGTAAGTAGTATGGGTTGCTGCAAAAAATGACATCGATATTGATATGCACCACACAGTGGATATCCTTGCCCTCCTTACAAGATTGTCATTCTGGATGAAGCAGATTCCATGACTAAGGACGCTCAGTCAGCATTACGTCGAACCATGGAAACCTATTCAAAGACGACTCGATTCTGCTTGGTGTGTAATTATGTCAGTCGGTAAAGTGAGCAGACAAACACGAGGCAGCTGCTGATCCATCTCACGCATTCTTGATTTGCAATTAGCATTATTGAACCCATCACCTCTCGTTGCGCCAAATTCAGATTCAAGCCTTTACCAGTCGCGGATTTAGAGGATCGTATCAAGATGATCTGTGCAGAGGAGGGCGTCCGCTTGGGACCCAACACACTCAACACACTGATTGAGAGCTCGGGAGGCGACCTCAGAAAAGCCATCACCTTCTTACAGAGTGGCTACAATTTGCAAGGATCAGAGCCCATCACACCCACCATGATTAGCGAAATGGCAGGCATTATTCCTCAGGACATGATGCAACAGCTGATTGATGTTTGGTCCAGCAACAATGTCAAGGCGATTGAGAGACAGGTGCACGATATGATGAATGAAGGGTACTCGGGAGAAAACATTGTGAGTCAAATCCACGATGCGATTATCAAGGATGACGGGTTAAACACACTCCAAAAGGCAAAGATTTCACAGTTTATGTCTGTTGTGGACATTGATCTTGTGCAAGGCGCAGATGAGCATTTGCAAGTGCTGAATCTCATGGTCAATATTGCGAATATCGCAGCTAATGCATAAGTCAATAAATAAAAGCATTTTATTATTCTATCATGGGTTGGGGTTGGGGTTGGGGCTGCTTCTTTTTCTTGGGGCCTCGCTTCCTCTTTGGTCTCGGCGTGGACTCCACCATGTCAATATCTGTGGGAGTGTGTGGATCAGCATTAGAAGCGGACGCTGTTTGTCTAGTAGGCTGTCTGTGCTGTGGTAATGCAGGTCGTCTGTGCCCAAATGAGATGGATGTGGGTATTTTCAGTTTTGACATGCTCTCTGTCAGGCTGTCCATCATGTCCGCATCCGCTGTCTGTGTCTGTGTCTGTGTCGACTCTTTTTCTCTTCTAGATAGGCGCTCTCTATTTTTCCGATCTCTCAGCCTCCTCTGCTCAAATGTCAATGTGCCAGTATAAACCAAATCAAACGGAAAGTATTTTGGGTAGTGGTGTTTGTCTACCAGATGCAATCGACGCATACGTGGTGTTGAGAACACTTTGGCGCATGTTGGCACATAACATTTATACTAGTCGTCCTTGGGTAAGTACATGGCATCGTTCCGCAGATGATGACTTACTATCTTTTCGCCTCGATCCTTTTTCACTTGCAAGATCACATCATGAAACTCGTCTAGATGCAACTGCAGCCATTCTTCACCGGGAAAGATCTTGTGGCAAACAGAGCACACGTTTCGATGTACAGCTTCATAGTGCAATTCGTATGCCAAAATGCCTGGAAATTCAGTTCTGCAGGAATCGCAATAGATCTCGATAGAGGTGTGTTCACTGATAATTCAAGTTAACTTGCCATGCCGATTGAGCACGCGTGCACAAGCAAGGAAAAAAAAAAAAAAAAAAAAGACTTACATACGTTGCCAAGTCAGATGCTTCTTCTTTGATCATCTGGAGCTCATTCTCTGACTGTGCCTGTTTCTGCAGCCAGATGGAACGAAGAGCAATGTTGCCTTCTTCGAAGAAGGGGTCATTTGGTAGATAAATGCGTTTTTGTGGGGTATATATTATAGACATTCGTAGGAGCAAGCAGTAAAAAAAAAATACAATCAAGAAAATTTGGTTCAAATATGACTTTCATATGTTTGATGCATCGCCAAATCCATCTTATTGGATGTCATTGGATACAATACATTGAGTAATATAAGCTACAATAGTCGTTTGATGCATAGAACAGCATAATTGCCAGACGAATTACTAGCTGAAATGCTTTGCAAGAACAAGATCATTGCAAAAAAAAAAAAAAAACGACAACAATGATCAAACTGTTTATAGACAGCAGAGTAAAGATTATGATATAGTGTATTGTGCTATCTGTTGAACCGATGGAAAGATGCATCAGGTTACCTAAAAATGACAGAAAGCAATGTAGTTTGGTCAACCAAGCCATGGTTGATCCGTTGTTTAATCAATGATATAAAAACCCAAATGTAAAACAGCATCTTTTTCTTCTCGCTTTATCAATGCTATGAAGGCTTGTTTCTGGACAGAATGTCAGTTAGCTCAGTTGCTGTCTTCTCAACGCATTGCATGGATCTCCAGCATGTCGACAATAGACTCTCAGAGCCAAACTCAATCAACAATAATGTCGCAATAGCTCGTCAACAGCGCAAAGGGCACAGTCTCATCCAAATCACTGGAAAAGACGGTTTGACGACAGCGCAGGATTCAAGAGGCGTTCTTCATGCATCTTCCAGGGCGCCCACCTTCTGCAGTATAATTCCAGTGACACAAATACAGAATAAATTTACAGGTGTCGTGGTTGGTTAATTACTGTTGTGTCAGTGGAATGCCCTGTTTGTCGCATTTGCAGCTAGTCCAGTTTTTTTTTTCTATAAAATCTGATTTGTACATGAATAGTGTCTATTTTTTTTTTCCTTCTTTTCCCCTGATTATATCTCAAAATATTTCTCCAATGGCATCTACCTCCAAAGGATTCCAGCCTCAAAAGTCGTTTGATGAGCTACTGTCATCCATACCGCTATTCGATCAGTCATCATCGTCTTGTTCATCCACACCAGCATCCTTTAGAACCAACGAAATAGCAGTAAATGATCCTGAATTGTACATGGGTGACGACTGCGATGCATCTTATGAGGCAACATTGCTGGATTCAGGGCTGCTCGATTGGCTCAGCAAAGAGGATACCATCGCATTTCATCATTCTCCATCACAAAAGAGACTTGAAATGCTATTGATGCATTTGTCTACTACAAATGCTGAAGAGATGAGCGACAGAAAAGGGAAGGGCAAATTTAGTTAGATGGACAGGATACCGTGCGCATATAGACAGAGTAAATCTAGATACCAAAAGGCAGCATACTTAGTAGTATGTGCCAATGCAAGTGAAATAAATTCATGTCGATGAAATTTTGAATTATCTTATGATGACTTTGAGTTGTCATGCCATTACATGTGAAATGCTCAGTTTCAAACGAAGAATTGGGATTATTCATCTTCACATGCAGTGTAGAAATTGTAATATCTTTCCTTGGCATTGCTCAATAATAAAATGAGGAAAAGCGCTATTCTTTATACAGGTATAGATCTTTTGGAAGGCCTGACTTTACTTCCTCAGGGTTAAAAAGACGATGCACTGTATAATCTGTTATGGAGCCGCATTGTGGCCAAGTGTTAGAGAAGAGTAAAGGCTCGACATTACTATAGTATGGCAACCACTCACTCCTCAATCGAAAAGTATAGAAAGAGATGGCTGATGCCTATCAACACTCAAGTTTCTTCAAACAATTTCGCTCTTATTAATTTTGCAATAGTAGCCAAAGGTCTGTGGAAGTGTGAGCCACCTAAACGTAGGTTGGCTTCCTAGTCTAACAAGTATTTTGATAGACTGGCGTTATTAGATACAAAATCCAAGAAAATAGCATGGCTACCTATATTTCTATGCAATTTACCACCTACTTTCCATACATTTCAAAAGCATCTATTACAGTATTGCCGCCAGATGAAAAGGGATGTGAGTTTGTCAACCGGCTCCACAAGCCAAACTTAATTCAAGCCCAGACTCATATTCTGCTCCAGATTGGTCATATTTTGACAACTTTCGACTCGATTGAACTATTTTGCCAGATTCGACTATGTAAAATATGATGATCATCTGATGCTTCATAATACATCGTTGGAATGCTTTTCAAGGCGCATCCAATGGTACCCAGTAAGATAAATGTTCTGGATAAACTTAGTGAGTAATTTAGGAAAATATGAAAAGAGGTTTCTGGCCAAAAAGTCGAATTTTTACATATTAAGACCCCACAAAAATGATTTCAGAGGTTACGTTAGGTTGATAGAAACATTTTGATTCAATATATACCATAGTAAAAGATTTCATTTTCAAAGCGAAAAATGCAATCGTTTGATTTTCAATGAAAACCATAAGGGGTACCTCATGCTTTTTGGTTGAATTTTATCCATTTTTTTTTTTGGTCCCCAAAAAGTTGAACAAAGGTGTCAGAAAGTAACTGTCAGATGAGGGCAATTGTTTGGTGCTATTATAACGATCTAAAACCGCTTCTATCGCGAGAAATCACGGCCTAAATGCATTCATATTTTGCTGTATCAGGGACACTAAGGGCTAAAAAGGGAAAATACCAGTATACTGCTTGCCCATATATGAAGTAGCTACGTGTATGTGGATGTAGAGCATCACATAAGAATCAGATCCACAGATAATATGAAAGATTTTCATGTGTAAGTGGAGGATCAAAATGAAAGCAGCAGTATTTCGATAAGATATTACGTAAGGGCAATCGGTAGAGCGAGCTACCGCTGATCAGGTTGGTTCTTACCGAAGCGAAGCAACAGTAGAGAGCCATCCGAAGCATAAACAGTCGTACACCATATAAACGGAATCAAGCCCCAATCTCAAGTACAAATTTAGTTTACAGAACCTCATTACACAAGCCTTGAGAACTCGCGTACTACAAGTTTCCATATCAAATCCTTAGTTGTTCTGTCAACCATGCTTTTTTCGAGCTTATTAATAGTCTTACTATTTGATGATAAATGCAGCGCACAATAAAGAGCATGAATACATAAATTAAGGGGAGACACCTCATTGATAGTCCCCCTCTTGTTTCCATAATGATTCCTGCTGGTAGTTGCTATATACTGACCACGTAAGTCATAAGGAGAACTCAAGCAACAGCTCGCCATCAAGCTGAGCATCTAAATGTATAAGTCCATGGTGTTACAAGCGAAATTGGTTTGCTGTTTCTCTACAACAGATCGGTGTTCACTTTCTGGCAGTGCGCACAACAACCCCCTTCCGCTTGTGCCTCATGGATTGCCCCACAATAAAATAGATTTTTTTTTTAATTGTTTCTCTTTTTCCTCTTTCTCTCTCTCTTTTTATTTTATTTATTGTTTCAACAACACATAAAGAAGAGAGAAAATGGCATCAATTCTCCCTCACCACTCTGGGACCAGCGCCTTTCGGTCTATTTCCAGTGTCTTTGGCAAAGGCATTCATCGTGCTGCCAAGCTATCGTCTCGCAATCCCATCGAGATGATTGCTGGCATCTTGATTTTGTCGTCCTTCAGCTACTTTTATTTGTTTAATCTGGCTCGCACCTCTGATATCTTCTCTGGCACGGTCACCCGCCTGTATCCAACATTTGTGTATGCTGATAAGAACACGCTGGACGGCTTCCAGCAGCTCTCTCGCAACGACGTATCCTTGGACAGCACGATTGAAGCAGTGAAAATTCAACTTAGACAAATCTCCATCGTGGATCAGGAAAAGAACGTGATTGACAGAAACACGCTGGCTACTATTCTTCGTTTTCAAAACACCATTGACCACACGCTGCTGGATGATCATGTTGGACAGTTTGGCTACAGTGCCCTGTGCTTTAAAGATGCGCAAGGCGAATGCTTCTCTCAATCATTGACTGACATCTTTGACATGGACACCATTGATTCGGATGATTTGAGACGATCCATCAACCAACATCCCAAACTGGCTGCCTCCATCTTTGGTGAGTTGGATTTGAACGCTTCCACAGCCTCTTCCATCTTGCTTTCATTTGCCTTCAATGCCTCCACTGATTACCGCCAGCAATTGTCGTATGCTTGGGAACAAAAGGTGTCTACGCTGTCCTCGGGCGATCTTGTGTCTCTCTCCAACACTGGAAATCAAGAAGACGTCTTCACCTGGGCCTTTATCATCTCTAGAAACATTGTGTATCGCATCAAGGAGCTGATCGACATGGCAGATAACATTGACATTATTGTCATTTTGGGCGGCTACGTGATGATGCTGACAACATTCGTGTCCTTGTACATGAACATGCGCTCCATGGGATCACGCTATTCGCTCGCCACGGCTGTCGTTGTAAACGGCTTCTTTTCCTTTATGTTTGCCCTGCTGACAGTCAATGCTTTAGGCGTCGATGTTTATCCTGTTGTATTGGCGTGAGTACTCTCTTGTCTAGCTAAAGTAGAGTTCAACCACTAATCTCGATTATTTAGTGAGGCTATCCCCTTTTTAGCTGTTACCATCGGCTTTGAGCGTCATTTCAAGCTTACCAAAAGAGTCTTTGAATTCAGCAAAGAGACGCCATTGACCAAGCAAGAGATCAGAAAGACCATTGTGCGTGCAGTCGACTCAGTTGCCTTGCCCATCGCCAGAGACTGTATCATGGAAATCACTGTGCTTGCATTGGGTGCCAAGTCTGGCATCTCTGGTTTGCGTGAATTCTGCCTGTTGAGCGCCATCTTGTTGGCCTATGATTTCATCATCATGTTCACTTGGTATACAGCAGTCTTGGCACTGAAATTGGAGTTGTTGAGAATCCGTGAAATCAACGGTGCAAGCAACAAGTCTGCAAAGACCACTGGCACAGGATACATCCGTAGCACCGTCGTCAAGGCATTTAGCGATAGCACAACAACAAACAATAACTCGAGCATCAAGGCAGATGAGCCTATCATTGGCAGAGTCAAATTACTGATGGTATGTAGTGTACACAGAAAATCAGGTTTTCTTATTTGTTTCAAGCTAAACAACTTTCTTTCTGTGGGGGGTGATTATAGATTGTTGGATTTGTGGCTATGCAACTATTCAAGGTCTGTACTACGTTTCAAGGATCGTCGGGTCCTCAGGTTAGTGTCGTGGAGCCTGGTGTGAGTAATGTGCTCGAGAAGCTCCTTGCACAGCATCGTGCATCTGATATGGGACACTTGCCTCTGCTGGTAGAAGTGTTTCCTCCTTTGCCTTTCCACATTGCATCGTCATCCTACAAGACCATTGTTCCTGACAGCATCCGCCAGCCCTTGGACTATTTATTGGAGACTTATGCCGTCTACATTCAACATCCCGTCATCTCAAAGTGGATCACACTCGCTCTATTTGTATCGTTGTTCTTGAACACATACCTTTTCAAGGTTGCCAAGCAACCGGCAAAGGTTGCTGCTACTGCGGAGACTCAGAAATCAACAGTTCCCACCATCGCCACTGTTGCTCCTGCTGCTGCTGCTGCTGCTGCTGCTGAAAGAAAGACTCTCACACATCATTCACACCATCACAAACACGGCAACAAACACCAATCCACGTTTGCCGTTCAAGGAGTGATTCGCACTTTGGAAGAATGCATGCAGCTCACACAAACACCTGAATCCTTGTCGGATGAAGAGGTCATCATGCTGGTTCAGAAGGGTAAAATGGCCTCCTATGCTCTAGAAAAGGTATTGGGTGATTTGGAACGTGCTGTCAGTATACGTCGTGCTTTGGTCTCTCGTGCTTCCATCACAAAGACCTTGGAATCCAGTTTATTGCCTCTCCACAACTACCACTATGACAAGGTGATGGGTGCTTGTTGTGAGAACGTCATTGGTTACATGCCTATTCCTGTAGGTGTTGCTGGTCCTATGAACATTGATGGAGACTCTATTCATATCCCCATGGCTACTACAGAAGGCTGCCTGATTGCGTCTGCTGCCAGAGGCTGTAAGGCCATTAATGCTGGTGGGGGAGCTACGACGATTATTACTGCCGACGGCATGACCCGTGGCCCTTGTGTCGAATTCCCATCCATCATCGGTGCTGCTGCCTGCAAGAAGTTTATCGAGGAAGATGGTGCTGAAATCATCACTGCTGCTTTCAACTCTACCTCCAGATTTGCTCGTTTGAGAAAATTGAAGGTGGCTCTCGCTGGCAGACTTGTCTTTATTCGATTCTCTACTACAACGGGTGACGCCATGGGTATGAACATGATTTCCAAGGGCTGTGAAAAGGCACTCAGTGTCCTCTCTGAACATTTCCCTGATATGCAAATCGTCTCACTCTCTGGTAACTATTGTACTGACAAGAAGCCCGCTGCTATCAATTGGATTGAAGGCCGTGGCAAATCCGTGGTCGCAGAAGCCGTCATTCCCGGTGCTGTCGTTGAGAAGGTACTTAAGACCACTGTGGCTGCTTTGGTTGAATTGAACATTTCCAAAAACTTGATCGGTTCTGCCATGGCTGGTTCTGTTGGTGGTTTCAATGCTCATGCTGCCAACATTTTGACAGCTGTGTATTTAGCCACGGGTCAAGATCCTGCTCAAAACGTGGAAAGCTCAAACTGTATTACCTTGATGAAGGCCATCAATGACAACCAAGACTTGCATATCTCATGTAGTATGCCTAGCATTGAGGTCGGTACCATTGGTGGTGGCACCATCCTACCTCCTCAACAAGCCATGCTCGACATGCTCGGTGTTCGTGGCCCTCATCCTACTGAACCAGGAAAGAACGCTCAAAGACTTGCTAGAATCATCTGTGCTGCTGTCATGGCTGGTGAATTATCGCTCTGTGCTGCTTTGGCTGCCGGTCATTTAGTCAAAGCTCATATGGCTCATAACCGTGCTGCTGCTACACCAGCTGTTCCTGGAAGCTGCATCAAATCCTAAATCACAAATGCATATTTATTTATTCCCCTTTTTTGCCTTTTCTCTACTTTATATCCACCCTTAATACTAGACAACAAAATGTATGTTTTGAAATAATAAAAGATATACACTTACAAATTGAAGCTTATCGCTCTGTTTAAAGAATGAAAGGAAATAGGCAATTATCAAACAAATAAGCTTATACAGTATCTCTGCTCAGGCATAATGACCGTGTTGATGATAAATAAATTTTGGTTCTTCTTGGTCATAAAATAATTTTACAATGAGACCTGAATGCAGTTAAGCAATACGGACTTCCTCAAAGCTATGATGTTGACCAATCTTTGTTATCAACATGTAAAGATTCGATACATATAAGTGATACGATGATGGTTTCTGACAGCATTATTAAGTCTTGTATTTTTCTAGTCTTTCGTGTGCTATAATATCTAATTGAAGCCAGGTTTGAGTTTGGCGTGTATATTCACGGCAACGAGTAGTGTAAGTTGTCTGTCAACACTATCCCTTGCTGTAGCAAACTGTTGTGGTATCAGAAATGTCTTTTCGATTTGGGATCCTGTCAGTTGTGAAATTGCCAAAAACTTTTGGGTGCAATGTAAATGTAAAATCACAAGTTGTAGTTGAAACTATGGATATCAATTTCTTGCTAAATCCTCTTTTTCATGATTTGCAGTTACTTATACTTTTGAACTATTGGCATGTTCCACCTCTGCTTCCGTTTGTTTGACAATACATTGGTTTGATCCGAGCATATGCTTTCCTTGCTGTTGCTTGGCCATTATATGATGTGCGATGGCATTACTTTAATACAACGTACGCTAACAACATAAGGTTGTGGCGATCACCACATTTCAATACATACGTTTTATACAAATGACTCTATATGCTATTGCTTTTTCTCATGTGCAGCACTATCATTGCACCAGAGGCCATCAAATCAAAAGCAAAATAGGAAGTGACAGTTCTTCATTTACAATTTGAGTGACCAATTACCAGCGATTAAGTTATATATCAAATACACACACATATATATATATATATATCTGTGACAGAAGCATTAAAACGTGTGTAGACCAAGTTGTAACGCTTTTCAAATGGCAATTGCCTCCTTAATAGCATCAGGAGCATTAAGTGCCTTCATGATGAGAAGACATCCATCTAACTATCAACCAGCCAAAACGGATTAAAGCCTCGCACGTTTTTTGTTCAAGATTGGACAGATTTTTGCTAAAATCGACTGAATTGATCTATTTTGTCAGATTCGATTATATAAAATATGATGATCATCTGATGCTTCATAATACATCGTTGGAATGCTTTTCAAGGCGCATCCAATGGTACCCAGTAAGATAAATGTTCTGGATAAACTTAGTGAGTAATTTAGGAAAATATGAAAAGAGGTTTCTGGCCAAAAAGTCGAATTTTTACATATTAAGACCCCACAAAGATGATTTCAGAGGTTGCTTTGTGTTGTATTCAAAGATACAGTATTAACAAATTAAGATAGATTTCAAAAAAGGAAGACTATAAAAAGTAACCAGATACGAAAACTAAAGATTTATTAACTGATTCAAACACATCCTATTTATAAGAGATCATTACTGATGAATCATCAATCTATCTTGTTGTTTCAACTGAGTCAATACATCGTATCATGTTTATCTAATATCAGTCAATTGAAGGATCCAATTCGTTCGATCAGCCATGATGATACAATCTGTAGCCATCATTATCCTTCACTATCAGAGACCATCATAATCGATTATATGATTCACTTCTGTGTCAAACCTAATGTCCTAACGTAGACAGTGAGAAACAATGTAAATCATGATCCGACTCTTGCTGAGTTACTGAATGTCCGCAACCGCTACAGACTCAACACTTTGGATCGATAGAAACATTTTGATTCAAGATATACCATAGTAAAAGTCTCCATTTTCAAGGTGAAAAAATGCGATCGTTTGATTTTCGTAAAAAACCATGAGGGGTACCTCATGCTTTTTGGTCGATTTTTGGCCATGTTTTTTTGGGTCCCCAAAAAGTTGAGCAAAGGTGTCAGGAAGTTACTACTACTCGAGTACAACAATTTGGCGTCATTCTGGTGGCTCAGAAAGGTCTACATGTCAAGATATGAAGGTCTAGGAGCTGTCAAATTTGGTAATGTTTTTGCTTTATAGCTCTTATTTACACAGCATGAATCGCATCTTGGATGGATAGCAGAAATTCTTTAGGAGGGCAGTTCTGCAGCCTGTGCAACTTTTAATTTGAATAGGAGGCATATTGATTTTGGTAAAGCTCAAAATCATTCTCTAGACTGCACAAATTTACAACTATTCTTTAGTAATGTAAATCAATAAATTACGCTACAACTCAAACTGAAAGCCTATATTGACGGCGTTATACTTACTAGGAACCAGAAACTTGCATTGTCGTCATTCATCGTCTTGTATTTATATTACGTGCAATACGAGAAGTTTGCAAGTGTATCAATATCTAAAGACAATTTGTTGGTACGTTAGCCACCCCCCCCCCCTGCTGCAAGGCCAAAATCGTCAAATAGTAAGGTGGAAGAAAAGCTCCCAAAAATGTTGCAGATAGGCATTAGGTCAACTCTATTGCTCTGTAGCACTTGTTTGGCGCCTTTCTCAACGTTAGAAACGGCTTCTACCCACATGAATTTGGCATTTGAAATGTGGAATGCCGACATTCACATACTATGCATAATTGTGTTTTGTACATCTCACTTTAACAATGATTCAACAATAGTTACATCGATAGTAGCACTGTATATGACATGGAAAACTGAAATTGGTTCATTTCTTACAGGGCACTGTACTATAAGGTTGGTCACCATCACAGTGTGTTACCATGGTTTTTTCAGTAGATCAGAACGTCAGCGTTACAACTTGCTTCCTGATACCATAGTAAAGATGATTTAAGTAGTTAAAAATACAATAGCATATACACTTCGTACTCAATTAAAGAAAAATTGTAATGTAACATAGAGTAAAATGTAGACCAGAAGTTGTGGTTTTGTCTTACTGCAGTCATGAAGACAGCTCAGAATTGTCGAGAATAGGAACAACTATTGTTCATGCATTTTAACTCTTCCGATTTGGAGACCGCTGAACAACAATACACTGAAATGCAAAATCAAGTACGGAATTAACATATATATATATATACACATGTCTAGATGAAATTCAGATGAGAGGAAATGATCAATGTGTAGTTCAAAGAGACCTTGTATTGATTACAAGAAGACATGCCATTGATTTGTACCATGCCTCATTTTTGATAGCTGTTGAAATATCATGGCTGCTTTTTCTAATTGAACATGAAAAGTAACACTTGAAATCATCAAGCCCCTTAAAAGTATGAAGGCTTACCTATGTCTTTTTATTGCTCTTTTTTACTTCAAACCTATATCCAAAATGAGGCTACCCTCTGATATCCCTGCAGATTATATAATTCCACAAGCTATAAGGGAAAAGCTCAACCTGCCCAGCTATATCCTCACTGCCCCTATTAAAGATCTAGCTCAAGTCGAAAGCCACGTAAATAGTATTCCTTCGCGTTTGATCATGGAAAAGCAAGCTCTTCACGTTTATAACGATATCAAAACCGCTATCTTCAATCTTTGTGATTTGGATGAAATTCCATTCGTGTTGCCACACAACATCAAATCGTACTTCAAAAAACTTCAAGGCGATTTTGTCTTGGAAAAAACTAAAAAGAAGTTTATTAAGATCTACGAAACTGCATTAAGAGAGCTACATGAGCGTTTAGCTGTAGAGGAATTGAAGAAAAGAAATTACAAGGAAGCACAGTTGGAATCCACTTCAGAGAATGCTACTAGCGAAAATGACAGAGGCTCGGAAACTGCTTCTTTATCAACCATGACGTCTTCAGGCAGTCGATTGTATGTAAAGAAAAACCGAAAACAGTTCACAATTCCTGTTCCAAGCGTTTATTCAACAGCACCCCATAAACCAAAATTGCAGAGAGGAGATTTCGTGAAGCTGAGTGAAATATGCTCAATCGCTATGGACTTCACGTTTGGGGAGAAGGCGATGGTTGATCAGCATGATTTGCAGAGCTATGCCACTTCACGAGAAGAACAAGAGGCACGTTACTCTCTGCAGCAATTTGGCGGTATGGAGGAATACATCAAAGAGCTATTGTCAGCCAACATCGCCGTTTTGCCCGCAATCGCCTGGAAGCATGCAATACATAGAAGCTCAGATGGTTTAGCTCATCAATTTGCAAGAGTGATTGCTTTGACCCTGACAGACTTCACTTCAAATTGCCGGCAAGCTCCAAGCCAGATTGGAGAGCACGAGAGAACGGCCTTTGTAAAGTACGTGGTCCCTACATTCAAATACCTCAGCCAAGAAACTGGCTATACTGTCATGTCTTGGTGCGAAAAAAAAGTAGAGACGCAAATGTTGTCCAGTTTACAAGCAAACAACTATTCGACTTCTGCATGTGATACCAAGTATGCTGATGGTCTTGGTGTCAACAGCTTGACGAATGAAGAAGAGTTGTTTATTGAGTCAAGCAGTGGAATCAATAGGGAGAATGTGGCCCACTCTTTGAATGACACTATCAAGCTCATCACAGAGTGCTCTGGTGCATTGCAACATATTGTACAGAAGCACCCAAACGCCTCCCTTGATACAATGTGTCTGAAGGAAGTTTATGGCTTGCAAGTTGTCAAGAAGCAAGCTACGCTTACAAAGGTAGCTTTGACAAAAGTTACAAAGAAATGGAGCGTTGTTGAGCTACGCTCATCAGAAATACCCGTTGACTGGGCAACCCGCTACTACTGGTTGTCCATGTTTGAGCTCATGGCTACGTTGGTGGTAAGAGAGTGTTCTTGTTCAACAACAATATTCAGTGCTAACACCTCCCGCTTTTATATGTAGTTGGCGCAAAGAAATCAAGAGAAGGTGAATGATATGCTAGCCCAGGAATCAGCGGGTATCTTGCCCTTCAGTTCGCCAAAGGTGGCCCTCTTCTTTGAACAGTAACCGCCCCACCCACCCACACCGTTCTTACCCTCTACCCCTTACCCACCCTACTCTCTTTCAGTTCACGAGTATTACTGTAAATGCATGTCGTAATAAACTTGTTATTTTTTCTTGCAAATATCTACAAGCCAACATTTGGTAAATGGGACATGAAGCCATAAGGTTAATGTTTGGAACAACCTTGGGTCCTTGCCACGCGCGTTAAGTCCTTCATGAAGAGGCCTCCTTCATTTAAGGAAGGATAATCCGCACAACCTGTTGTAAAGAAATTCAAATGTTGAGCGATGTGTACATTCATTCTTAAAATCCGGTCATAAGACGCAGCCGTGTTTATTACAGGGAGAGAATTGACTTCTGTTTTTTTTTGGAAGCATTGTTATCCAAGCTTCGTTTGTGATCACAATCACGCACATAAACAATGTTTTGAGCATTGGTACCAATCAAATTGTGTGATAAGCAACAGTTGTCAAAGAATCAGTCCGGCATAACCAGTTGCAATCATAGATAATTCATTTGCTTGACCCTAATGAGACAGGCCATGTTAGAGCCGATTAGATGCAACACAATGTGATAGAGCTACTTACAAGCTCTTGAAGCAATCAAAATTCAAGTATCCCAAAGCTTGCTATAGGAAATATAGCTTAGCACATACAAATGTTGAAAGCTTCGACGATAGTACCACAGGAGCATTATCACAATGAAAGTAAACAAAAAACCAGAGATCGACTGAAGGACAAGATCTTGAATCCATGAGTGATAGGCTGCAGAGGATACCAGCACCAAGTATAGTTACCCTAGGTATTCAAAGAATGATTCCCCAAAGTTCGAGGCTGCTACCTGCAATGTATGTATTCTTTGGTTTGTGTGAAATACGAGATAGTATAGTTTTGTAGCATTTGTATCAAAATTTGATTGTGATGCAATATTTTATCTAAATACCCAATAATACAACTGAGATCTCATGTAACCGTACCATATTATAAAGGTTTATTTCGTTATAATAATGGATCCCTAAATTTATGTTATCTTCCCTACTTTAAGTTTCCCTGAATGTAGAGAAAAATTTCTGAATTTAGATCGCCTTACGCCGTAGTGAAGAGACAGCGCATGTAAAACCATAAAGACAACTACTAGCTTAAAACAACCCCGAGTAAGAGAGGAACGCCAGGGAAAAAACCGTGTGGATGATGATGCAAGGCAATAGAGACACCAAGCATTGAAACCAAAAGACACCATGTGTAGGGCCATGAAGAACACCACTGGTTTAAAAAAACCCTTAGCAAGAGAGGAACGCCAGGGAAAAAACCGTGTGGATGATGATGCAAGGCAATAGAGACACCAAGCATTGAAACCAAAAGACACCATGTGTAGGGCCATGAAGAACACCACTGGTTTAAAAAAACCCTTAGCAAGAGAGGAACGCCAGGGAAAAAACCGTGTGGAGAATGTGAGTGACAGACACCATTTGATACATCATTAGACATCCAGTGAATATGCTTTAACTACAGCAAAGTGAGTAAACAATCAGAGTAAGACGGAGGCGTCATTACCTCTATAAGTAAGCACAAGTATAAACCGAGAGAATAGAGACATGTTTGACCATTCATGGAATCAAAGAAAACCAAGCAGAGTTGCCATGAAGACCATAAGAGAGCCCTTAGAGAAACATGCATCTTGGAGTGTTGATATATCAGCGAAATAAACTTCTTTGAGAGCAGCCTTTCTTGATGAAATACTTACCACAGCACCAAGTCATTCAAAGACGGAAGCAGCCTCATCGCCAACAAAGATACAAAAAAACATCTTGAGAGACTGGAGATAACACCATTTTAGCCTTGAAAACCACCTTGAGACCTTGAAGGACCATGCTTGTAATATATTAGTGAAATTTAACTCTTTGACAGCAGCTTCCTTGACAGGGGACTTACCGTCACATTGTGTCATTAGGGGAATACTTTGCTATATTGAATAGAGGAGCAGATGAAGCATCTATTGTAAACCATGTAAACAACACATACCTGATATTGATTTTAGAGCGAATGTAGCTTTGACCGAAATGTATAGCCGGGATGTTGAAAGGTGGAGTGTCGCCTATTTGCTTCTTGAAGGCCATTGATGTTGATCTGCTTGTCCACCGTTTTCATAATTACTGGTTGTCAAAATCACAGCCTTGGCTACTTTCAAAGTAATGTTTCTCATTGAAAAACGCAGTAGTACAAAAGGATTGTTAGCGACTGAATATCAACAATAGCTCTACAATTTTACCTTGGCAGCGTTCGCGCTATATTGGATGTATTGTACCCTTCTGAGAACCCAAGGATATTTGACAGAGTCATCGGCAAGCCCCCCACCATAAAGTCAAGCACGCATGATTGACCGTAGATGACACTGCGTAACCAATCCAAAGTTCAAGACCTCTCGATTTTCCGCAAGATTGGGCTTTATCTTGTTTTATCGGAGGAATGGAGAGCTTAAGTGGTTTGGGACTTTACAGGCTTGATGTTGCCTCAGCGGTACAACTCTAAAAGCAGAAAGTGCTAACGTGCATAATGTAAGATGATTAGGGAATGTATTATCTTGGGATGTCTTTCTGCATGTTACCTTTAGACAAATGAAGACAAAAGAAAAGTGTGATAAACTGCTCTGAGAAACCAAAGAAATAGACGCCATACCACGTCATCATCGTTGTAGAAGGATGCAGGAAAAACAAACAAACTATTAAGAAGGGGGCAATTTCAAAAAATACTTTCGGGGCAGCGTGTAAAGGCATCCAGGATATCAACAGACCAAGCGCGGCGGCTACCGTGCTTGTAATTTATAGTGAGCTTTTGTTGAAACTTGCGCCGCTATGATGAAGACGGCATTAGATCACATAATTTCAATGACGATAAGATGGCATCTTACTAGGCATAACCTATGATTGTATAGCAGATATAATAAGAACCATTCAGTAATTTGAGCTAGCCGATCTACCTCGTTATGCTCGATAATGGCATCGTCCTGCGAGCTCTGGCCGAAGACATTTAAAATCAGAGATAATAAAAATTTGGTATATCAAATAGGTTTTAAACAATTAATTAATAGTAAAAGAAAGCTTATATCAGAGTCAAAAGGGGTGTGGGAGGTATTCCCCCTTGCATCCTCCTCCCTTTGCTTATACACTGTTATCAAACGAAAGCTGTTATTAAGACGATGTCAAGTTTTATGCAGCATTTGTACAATACAATCTCCGTTTTTGCCATATTTTTTTTGGCAGTAGAATTGTCATACCATTCGCTAGTGTTGTTCTTGAGATAGAGACATAATAAAGCTGGTCATGTGTGAATACAGGACTTCTATGAGATCTACAGTGACTTTTTTGATAGATTGTCGTTGCAAAAGACGCCTTTATCAGCAGAACTCCCAACAAACGCAAAAAAAAAGTACTCGGGCCAAGCAATTGCCCTTTCAAATACATGGTCTCCATTTGGTCAGTATCGCAATCGTCATTGCCATCATCATTGTCATCAACAGAAAGGCATTTGGGTAAGCCAGCAGCAGCGACGTCTGCCTGCCAACATTAATTCAACCTCAGCTTACTTTTTTCTGTTCAAGATTTGCCAGATTTCGTCCTTTTTCGAATTGATCATGGCTCTTCCCGATAAACAAACATTGCCTAAAGGACGAGATCCTAAAGGTGGAAAAGCCACGGATTCTCGCCACAACGCCACCAAACAAAAGGATCCTATGCGGTCATATGCACAAATCCTGAAGTCGGATCAAACCAGGGACACATTTGATCTGACATCTCGCAACTCTGACGAGCTGGGCCAGCTCACCGAGGGGGGACAACTATTCCTCCACGCCAGGGACAAGAACTCTGTGATCATCTCGACCGAGCAATTCCTTGCATTGCAGGTTAATTTCAAGGATCTTGCGATAGTATTTCGTAGTCAGTTCCCGGATGCCTTGGTCTTCGCATCCGTAACGTCAGTCAAACCACCAAGTACTTTGAAATCAATTTTCGCACTGCTGAAGCCAGGGAGGCCGCCCTGAAGAAAGAGTTTACCTATGAAAGAAAGCAAGTTATTGTCAGCCGTACCTATCCTAAGGACGCTACCATTGTTCGGATTAGTGTAAGCAATCTACCTTATGAAGACGAGGAGACGCTGAAGGATGCAATGTCAACAATTTTTGGTAAATATGGAGAAATCTTGGAGATGGGTCTGCTCCATACTGTGCATGGGCACTTCTTTACTGGTAGAGGTTTCGTCACTTTGAATCTCATTCCTGGTAAAGAGTATGCACCTCTGGTACCTCAAATTAACTCTTGGGAATCTGGTGAAACTCTCAAGATTACCTACACTGGTATGAAGCCTACCTGTAGTCGTTGTCATGTCACTGATCATGTCTTTGGCAACTGTCCTGTCATGAGTCAACGAGTGAAGCACTGTCATATCTGCAGTAGCCCTAATCACTTACAAGCCACATGTCCGGGCGCATGGTGGAATCAACGCAAGAAGGCTGCCAAGTTGAACACAACACACACATCACCACATCAGTCGAAGGCTACTGACAAGGAGGCAGCGCCTGCAGTACTTACACCTGCTAAGGCAGATGTGAGTACTTCTGACAAGTCGAAGGTTACTAAACCCTTCATTACAGATATCATCCCAACATCTTCTCAAGAATCAACCATCATCACCAATTCCAATACCACGGAATCCTCTTCCACTGTTGAAGAGACAGCACCCATTCCATCTAGTGATGAGGATGGAAAGGACGTCGCTGACACTGGGGAGGAGCTCACCAAGGCGGTTGAAGCGGGTGATTCTGAACAAGAGAGTTCAACGGTTATTCAGGAGCAACAGGGCGACACTCCGGAAGATGATCTTAATGATGAGATGGATGGTGACGACGACGTCGATGAGAGCGATATCAACATGGAGGAAGCGGCCAAGGAGGCGGCAAGCAGCTCTATACCTCTGGATGAGGTTCTCCAGAAGATGAGGCGCCAGCTC